CCCCCCGGCGCAAGGACCCAAAGAGCAGATGTCGTGAGAGACCAGTCAGAGGAACAGAAATAGGGGAACATAGACGTGGACAAACGGTTGGACCTCGAAGCTAACCAGCCACCTGGATTTTGGGGTGGGCGGCACGTTGCTTGCAGACCATATCCCGAAGGTTGCTGTATCCTCTCTCAACATACCTTTCTATCTATCTATGAAGTGGGTGTGGGTTGATGGTGGTGGTTGACTTCCCGCGCGCGCGCGCCCTGCCCCCAAATGACCCCAAGCCTTTTTCGGGACTTTATACTACTCTCTCAAAACTCCACCATCCCTCATGAAAAGGCTCGGCCGGAACTCACCTGCCTAGTCATGATGATGGCCCACCCAAGAGCGAACTAGCCCTTCTCCCGCTAGTGGTTCACCTCACCCTGTCCAGGTGGATGTCTCGCACGACGACTGTTCTCATCCCCTCTCCGCTATTGGCGTTTCACTGGGTGGAGTTGCTGCGACGACCTACGATGGGCCTTGTTCTGACAGGGGGCGAATTCCCTGAGCGAGTTAGGAGCACGCCAGCAACAGGTTTGACCTCCTCAACCCGAATCCACAGAGCCCAGAGGGCCATTCAACCCACGTTCGTATCCAATAAGTTAACTTAAGATTATGTTAGGCCTACGTATGGATTGGGCTTGGATCCCCCCGCTTCTAGCTGATCAATCATCCAGAATGATGTCCAAACGCCCGCCAGAAGCAAGCTGGGCGCCGATAACCCATCCAGGAAGCCTCTTAGACTCTTTGTCTATCTTAGTGTTTCATACTTGTCTCTTCCGGCAGTTGACTTTAATTTCCTCCTCCACGACTGTCTGCCATACCTTGGCAACCACCAGACGGGCCGGCGGAAGGCAAAATCGTAGCCTCATCCTTCGACATCGCTGGCTCTGTTAGCTATGGCCGTTGTCCACACTGGGCCCCTCTGCAAACTAAGCTTGACTGGAATGCCGATCCGTCAAATGGAGGATTAATTCCCCCAGCCCACCTGCACCATTCTTGGTTCGGATTGTATGGAGTATCTCCGTGTCTCGTCAGAAAATCCCCCAGTACCCGCTTCTTATTTATTACTTTTTTTCCTTTTCCAGGAAACCTCATAACTACCGCCTATTCTGGCTGAACTGGCCTATATATCCTAGAATAATTCGAGTCACTGCACGGGACTTTTACATGCAGCTGGAAGAGGTGTGCCGGCATTGCCTCCACTTGTCTCTTCCCCATCTGTTCTACATCTCCAGTGACGGGGCTTGACGGTTGACCATCTTGGTCACACTGACAGTTGAATTCCAATTATAGAGGCTTGTGGCTTGACTCTGTAAATTCGGTTGAGTCGGAACGAAACTTGTGGTGCAGCAGACTGATGCAGGGTTACTGGCAATTTCCGAAACCTTGGTCTTCAACTCTTTTTTTTTTATCTAGGTGAGTGCGTTGTTGCTTATATATTCATCCTGTCTATCATGTTCGTGGGCTTGGTTCTTTCTCCTTGTCTTGGCCAGACCATACGTCGCCTTCAATTGTTACGCTTTTGTCTTCAGATGCGTGTGGTTTCTTTCGATGAGGGCTCATCACTTCCATCCATTCTCCGTGGGGTGAACACCTTTTCTGACTGGGCACCTCGGTCACCGTCAGTCCGTCTATTTTACTCATTCCTAACGTCGACTAGCACTGGAAAGTGACGAGACCGCGATCTGAGCTTGCAAATCTTCACAGGCGACGGATCTCAGCTGATGCTCAATCCACTTTTGACTCTAGAATCAGGCTCGCATCAATATCGGTTGAGAATCTCGATAAAGGACTCTTTCCCACGGTGAAAGGCCTCTGTCCTTGAGACCAAGTCTCTCAAACCCACCTTTTACCAATTTCTAAGCCGTGTTGAGCAGCCTGCCAGGGCTTTTAGGCTCTCGCGGCGCAGATGCATGTCCGCTACTCTGGCGGATCCGTATCGTGACTATGCGATTGAGTACTCTCAACATGCGACCTGCAAACCTGAGCAACAGGAAAGTACACTTGTCTATCATACGCCACAGCCGCACCTCCACCATCATCACAAGCAGGCAGAACCATCCTTCTCACAACCGGCTTCTCACAGCACCGCGGCATTCGAGCAGCATCATGCGAGTGCGACCGTCCTCCCAGCGGCGAACCCTCAGCCATCAGTCCATGACATGTCACAGACCGTTGTTCTCGGTCATACGCCGATGCTGCCACGACAGCTTCCCGTTCAGTATCCTCCCCCCAGTTTCGAGATCCCTCCACTTCAACGTGGCAAGAAACGGCCTCATTCAGAAACCGATGGAGAGGAGGCAGACCATGGTCTTAGACCTCAATTATCCGTCATCCCTGCCGAGGGCCCGGCGGAGCACGGTCACTCCCCCGAAATGCTCTTCTCGGTCCATGGGGCTTCGTCCCAGCAGCATTCAATGCCAGGGCACGGCTATGGGCATGCAGACCCCGTTGCGATGCCGCAACATCACCACCACCATCGCCTCCCGCCCCATGCGGCGCTGCGAACCCCTGGCCGACATGGTGTGAATGTGGAGGCGTCGCCTATGCCGTCGGGTCCTCCGAGTGTCGTAGGCCAGCCCGGGATGCCTGAACCGGCTCCCAGGCCACGAGGCCCGAAACTAAAGTTCACACCCGAGGAAGACGCTCTACTGGTAGATTTAAAAGAGAACAAAAACCTTACTTGGAAGCAAATCGCGGACTTCTTTCCCGGCCGAACGAGTGGCACCTTGCAGGTTCGATACTGCACCAAATTGAAGGCGAAGGATGTGACCTGGAGCGACGAAATGGTATGTCTTCTGGGGGTCGAGCGTCTAATGCTTAGGTGCAGGCTGATGAGCTAATGAACAAACAGGTGCAAAGACTGCAGCGTGCCCTTCAAGAATACGAGAACGATCGCTGGCGAATCATTGCAGGGAAGGTTGGCAATGGCTTTACACCAGCCGCTTGTCGCGAGAAAGCGACGCAGCTTCAATGACTATCACTTGAATATAATCTTGCTACGTCCCATGACTGTCTAATGTCTCAACATAATGTGTCCATTTGTCATGTTCCTCCACGTGCAGATGCGTAGGGATTGGGTGAGAGGTTCATGGCGTAATCTGACACCAGAGAATCAATGTACGGTAGACTGCTGATAGTGTATAATGTGTCGATTTTTGCTGCAGAAATGGGGGCCCTGCGCCAGTCTCACTCTGCAGGCGCTAATGCTCACTAGAGCTGTGGCTCGTCTCGTGGCAGCAGCCGTATTCGTCAGGCAGTGAGGCCCGATACTACGGCGAAGCAGGAAGACCCGCGGCGCAAGCCAAAGCCCTAAGCCCTACGTTCATACCTCGATTGAGCTGATCTGCTCAGATGGTCTTTGCAGTCGGCCGTTGTAGCTCCGTAACCAATCATTCCGCTTGGCTGACTAAGACCATACGACCACGGGCCGAAGCGGCTTCAAACTCACCTCAACCTCCAAACTCCCTCTCCCCAAACGTCTCGCCTTGTCTGCCGTCATTGCATCACTATCCACCAGGACAATGTTCCTTCAACGCACAGCCTTCGCCCTCGCCCGGCGCACCCCTGCCCGGGCCATTGCTGCTCGTCCCTTCTCCTCCTCTGTCACCCGCTGTACGTGACCCCCATCGTCAGACCAAGACCGCCTTTTCAGCCCACCCCAGTGACCATCAATCTGTGTCTCTGTGCTCCAATGGCACCGACATTGGTCAATTCTCTTTCATAATGCATCCTCGGTACTGATACAAGCACTAATCTTGGCTTCACATCTATAGTCGACCAGGCGAAGAAGTGGCAGGTCAGCAAGGAGGGCAAGATCCTGTCTTTCGATGGTAGGTCCCCGCAGGTGCTATTCGCGTGGACGTCAAGTGTTCGAGCTTCTTTGGATCCAGACCTTCTTCTTAATGCTTCTTTCGCGGGTGACGGGTGCGATTGAGGTGTTGGAGGGGCATATGTCGAGCTGTCGCGCTGAAGGCTCGAGTCATACGGATCGTATGATGTTTCCTGGGTATAATGCTAATTGTGCGCTTTCTTGTCCCACAGAGATCAAGACCGAGGAAGACCTTGTCCCCCCTGGTGCCAAGCCTGGTACCATTCCCACCGATATCGAGCATGCCACCGGTCTTGAGCGTCTCGAACTTACCGGAAAGATGCAGGGCATCGACATCTTCGACATGAGACCTTTGGATGCCTCCCGCAAGGGTACGTCGGACTCCGGCCGCGATATACTATCACCCAGACCTGGATAGGTTGGGGATATACCGGGCTGTATAGTGCTAGTTCTGACATAGTCGTCTGCAGGAACTCTCGAGAACCCCATCATCGTCAACGGTGCTGGTGACGAGCAGTACGCTGGTTGCACTGGCTTCCCCGCCGACTCTCACCAGGTCAACTGGCTCACTGTAAGTCTTTTGGTGTCTGACTCAACCCGCCGCGCACGATTACTGACTGCCCAGGTCTCTCGCGAGCGCCCTATCGAGCGCTGCGGTGAGTGCGGTAACGTCGTCAAGCTGAACTACGTCGGCCCCGAGGAGGACCCCCACGCTCGTAAGTTCTCGTGATATCACATCACTGGGTGGACACCTGCTAACATCTGCGATTGTTGCTAGACGACCACCACGGCCACGGCCACGGCCACCCTCCCTATGAGGAGCCCAAGACCTTCGCCGACTACGTCAAGCCTGAGTACTGGTACCGGTAAATCTTTGACACTTCCATATAATATGGAGCGATTGTCTTTCTATCCTGATCCAATCGAGTGAAGAGGGGTGGATTATTTGCAGTTGGGCCCGATATAAGGACAATTTTAAGTGTACAAAGACGGGGCGGGACAGAACGAGAGGAAGATTGGCCGGGAAGAGGAGATATGTCAGGAACCCTTCGGACGGAGCTAGCAATTGGTCTGTATTCTTTTTTTGAGAGATGTGTGTATGAGAAAAACCCGTGTGGCTTTTTTGATATTTCCACCCTAGCTCTTTCACGACACACCTAGGATGTGTCACCTCTTGCCCTCTCTCTGATTCTCCCTCACTCTTCTTCGTTCTTATTTCTGTGCCGCCCTGTCTGCCTCTGTATGTTGTATGTTTGGTTTGACCCCCTGTGCATTTTTCTGTCTGCCAGTTCTTGTCTGTACTATTGCCTGTTCAAAACTCCTGCTGTGCTTTCCTATCTCGGTGTCGCTGTAGAACAATGTTGACGGGAGAGATAGATATTGTGAGAATAGAGGTAGTTTGCCATGCTACTATCGCGTGCAATTTATGCCTCGGAACTGACCCAATCCGAACCCTAGATTGTCTGTCGGTAGGGCTTGTGAGGTGGTGGTGGTTACTTATATTGTGGAGTCGTTATACGCTCTCGGGAGTGTCATTGATGTCATTGCCATACTGCTAGTTAACTCTAGTCTCTAGCTGAAGCATCCTTGCCCGTTCGACCTTCAGATCTGATTCCGGAATCCGCATAAGTAGATGTTTCTGCATATTTGAGCAAGGTTGAACTGTGCATAGATATTATCCGTTTGGACTACTACCCATCCTCTTCCAACTACACATACGTGACGATAAAAAGAGAAAGGACCCCATCCACCATCTTACTCGTTTTATCAAATGATCGATTCAAGTAATCTTTTTATTCCAAGCAGAGGAAGGGTCGAAGCCGGAGAGAAAGGCGGGTGGGGAGAGGGGCGGGAGAGAAGGGATCGGTCAATCACCGAGAAATGAAAGGTGATAATACAAAGTACAGAGTACTGTGTACGGAGTCGAGTCTAGAATATGGCATGATGTTTCTTGTCCTGTTGGTCGTCTCAACAACCAGGTATATGTGCCGTCGGCAACTAGGATACCAACCCCCCGCCCCCAGTCAGCAAACAGCCAGCCGGCCAGTTGACTTCCCTCCCCTCCCCCCTTCTTCGGATCGGTGGGCCGGCAAGTCGCGGGTTGGAAACCTGTCACATTGACTTCAAAGATTCGATAGAGCGTGCAACTTACTACGGTGGAATTTGGACGGGAATTGACTTCGTTATCTGTGTGCCGCTTAGTTAGCGACTGCAATGTAGTTATATTGTTCTTGTCAAAGCCTGATGGATGCACTCCATCGATCATATCCACCCACAAACTTGATCACAGAGCATGCCAGTCAGTGTACAATCACTGGCACTTCCGATCGTAGTCCCCATCGGATCGACTACCCCCAATCTGACCTAATGACTAGGGAGTGTAGTTCTAGTTCCAAGTTGGTTTGGTTTGGTTTGGGTTGTCTTTCTGCGACGGATGTCCAGCTGGAGCTGGGCGGATATTCCCGTATCTACTTCCCCTTCCCAATTAGGCAAGAGACTCGGGGTGTGGGGGGATTCGGTGGTTGGCTCTCCCTATGATTTCTACAGTGTGTTTAGATTGTTGTTGATGAGCTGGGGGTAATTGATTGTTTCAATTGAAGTGAGTAAGCTGGACTAGTCAGGTTGGTTAGTTACTACTTATTACAGGAGTCGTAGGAAGAAGTGATTTGATTGATTTGTTCTATTTTATTTTCTTTCGACGAGTTGGATTGTGCTATTAAAGCAGTCCGAAGATGGGTTTGGTTGCCTGTTGGCAGTGTTCGTGTCGAGCTTGACATGAGAATACTCCTACTAGCTAAGTCAGCTCCGCAGGGGCAAGTTGGGTAGGTGTCTTGAAAATGCCGAGTGTGCCTGAAGACTGGGGGGCAATGATGATGCGGCTGGTGGGCGGTTTATCCCGCCGTCATGGGAGAAGTGGGAGCTTGTGATCAGCCTCTGATGTTGTGTCATACCCTACCGTCCACTTCACACTCACAGAGTAAGTTAGTCCGTAGACGGTTGACTCGTACTGCATGATGTACTTAATTTAGGTTTCTTGATAAGGGATTGGTCAGCAGGAGTCTGGTTGGATGCTTGTATCGGCCTTTACGATCGTATCTCCGGCTCCTGCTCTGGTTCTAGATCTATAGACGAGACCGTTGAGATGATGCATCATATTGTATAGTCACAGTCTGTTATCGATCGGGTTGGATGGTGCTGTTGTTTCTCGGCAAGGGGGTCGGCGGTTTCGGGTGACCTTTCTTGGTCCCGCTTTACTCTCACAACATACTATGTTTTTGTCGTCCTAGTTGACAGTTCAAGGACAATAGTATCCCCTAATATAACACTATAACAAGCACCAAATCATACATGACTTTTGATCGGTAGTATGTCTCCCCACCCCTTCAACAGATTGTACAAACACAATACTTCTACCCAATTCCACTCAAATAGACATTATTCAATGCTCGGAGACAATTTATCATTTTCATCGACCGAAGTACTGCCGTTCCACGTACCGAAGTGGAGGGTAGACCAGGCCTGTCCAGGAGAATGCGACATATAGACCCATCTAAACAACGGGTTAGTCAGAACAAGACCAGAAGCAACAAAGCGACTTACATCGGCACCGTACTCGCCCACCAAGCGCGCAATGGGTCCTATGTACCACACCTGTGCCATGCACAGAATCGCACCTGCCCAGCCAACCAGAAAGGCAATGAAAGCCGCGATACCAACCGGCAGCTTGGAAGGATCGTTCCAAGCGTACCAGTTGTATCCGGAACGGAACCGAAATATAAATTGTTCTTCCAGAATGATGACCACCCACATGACCACCCAATAGCCCATGAGGGCCAGAAAGTTGGTGAAAATATCAGAGAGATTGCTTCGACCAGCCAACGCGCACACAGTGAAAATCACTGCCCCGAAGGTGTTCCAGAGCACTCGCGGAACCTTTTCCGCGTGGCGGCCAAGAATCTGGAAGTCGACTCCAGCCGAGTAGGAAGGAGCCACTGTATTGGCGATTAAACCGAGGGCAACAACCACTGCACAAAATTTCCCGAATCCACCCAGCGGGCTGAAGCCTTCAACAATAAGAGCTCCGGCGCCAACAGAGTATGCTTCGCTATACTCCACATGCTTGGCGATACCCGACCCAAGGCCAGCACCACAAATGATTGCCATGGCGAAAGAAAATGTCAGCCCGGCCAGGGAGAGAGAGGAAAGCGCCCACTTCGAGGTGTTTTGAGGGTAATAGACAAAGAAGTCGGCAGCAAGTGGCGTGTAGGTGATTGCCGAACTGACGCAGAGGGAGAAGAACGACAATCTGAAAAGCGAATGATTAATACTGAGCAAGAAATCAAGCCTCAAAGAGCTCACCTGTTGCCGGCAATGGTGCTAGCATCTCCGGTGGATGATGCTGAAAGATCATAATTCTTAGAGGACACCCCAAACAGTATGGAGACCACAATGAGTTGAGGGAGGAACGCAAAGCTAACCAAGTCAGCGTCAGACCAGCAAAAGCGAAGGATGGTCCTGTCATACCGTTCATAGTAGTGGAAGACTTGAATGCCAAATGTAGCGATAATCCAGGTAATGATGGCGATGATAACAATGCCTTCCGAAATGATTAGTATGGATAGTGAAGCAAGCGGGAAAGCGATATACGCACCCACAGCTACCGACATGTTTCCATGCGGCGACACTGCGGACAAGATCTGACCGCCAACAACAGAGTCGATCAGACAATAACCAAGCATTTGAATCAAGTTCAAGATGACGATGAGCTTGCTGGGCCACCAGCCCATGGAGTAACGTCCGAATGCCTGAGACGTAGCGTTCAGCAAACACATTCCCTAGAGATGGATCTGCCATCACTCACCATAGTACGGATACCAGATACTGGACCTCGCGTAGCCATCCATGCGGCGGGGATACTTCCTAGAAGAGCACCAAAAACAGCGCAAAGGGCAGTATCGCGGAAGCTGAGGCCATACGTAGCAGGGCCCAGCATGCCAAGAGTAATGTTGTTGGCTGCCAGGTTGACCGAGACCCAAAGCAGAAAGGACTGCAGGTAGGCAATCCAGGTCAACTTGGTCATCCGCTCATTCTCTGGCACCCGTTCGATACCACGAGCCTCGAAGTTGTACTCGACTAACTGCTGCTCGAACTTCCTAATGTACGAGGTCAAGCGTGTCGGCGCACGTGTCGTTCTATCGTTGTTATGTTCGCCATTATCCATAAGACGATTCGAAGCATAGCTTGAATGGACATCCGTAATGTCCTTCTCAGACTGACGCCTCATGGCGGAGACGGGTTGTTCGGAAGACATCCTGTAGGAGACCGTCAGTACGAACCTGAGGGAAACGAAAATGAAGATAAGAGAAAAGCGGGCATAAGTCCTTTCGCTGGAATTATCCAGATCAAGTTCAACCGTATAATCTCAGAACGAACAACGTCATTATCAGACTTTACTGGGACGCCCTCCTCCGTGGCAGACGGAGTACTTTCCCCACACCCCCGACGAGGGAGAGCGCCTCAGGTAGGCTGTGTAACGAACAGTTGTCGAACACCGGTCTTCATGCAGGCAGATTACTTAGATACCTTGATCGACAGACAAGACCACGCTACTCGTCTTCATGGTAGCCGTCCCTTGTATATGGTTCTGTGAGAAGACGGGAGGGCACTATGTACGTATGTACGGGGACGTTGCGATTGCGATGGGAAAAGGATTGTGGCGACCAGACCTGGTTCAACACGATCTCAATCGTGCGTCAGTCATATTGATTTTAACAGAGTTTGTGGCAAATCCATTTTTCTGGAGAAGCACTCAGAATAAAGAAACTGCAACTTTGAGCGCAATAGATGATTTCTGCACTAACCTGAAATCACAGACAATAATATACGCAATGCCCACCGGCAATGTCTCAATGGTAGGCGAAAGAGCCCTGGGGGATTGGGAGGAAGGACAATGACTGCAGAATGAGGGAAAAGGTGGAGCGGGTTCAACAGCCGGAGCGAGAACCCCCAGATAAATTTTAATGGCGGCGGGGTCTGGATCGAGTCATAGCCGCCTCATAGGCGGCGGGTGGGTGTGTGCGGCAGCGGACTGGCCGCGGACTTGCCCGCCGCCGCCTCCCGATATCGGATGGCATTTCCTACCGCACCCCGTAGCACTACGATTGCTCCTCGACCGTGCGTAGGTATACCGCGGGCTGCAGGTACGTCCCATTGCTGGCTGCCCTTCTTTCGCCTATCGGGTTGCAAGAGTACTACTGCCTTGTCAACTCTTTTCTGATAATGCCCCAATCACATCCTGCACTCGTGTCGAAGCTGTTTGTCTGCAGCCTTGTTTATCGTTCGCTAGTAACCTGCAGGGTTGCTCTGCAGGGATTTCAGCATGCAGGCACGTCTATAGTGCATTGTCTTCAGATGTTTACTTTGCGGCTTTTTCTGCTACCTGATTTAATAGATCGGTTGAATAACTCTATTCCGAGTAATGAAGGACATACGAGACAGGGGTTCAAATTCACCAGCAATGTGTATCATCAAGAATGAAGACGACAGCCCTAAGACGAAATTGAAAACAGGACTCACTGAAAAATTGTGAGAGGGTGGATGATGAAGATGTAGCTAGTAGAGAACAAACGCGACCCAACTCCAATAACCCTTCGCCCGTTGCTCTGCAGACTATAAAGAGAAATCAATGTAAAATGAGTAACTCATGCTCAGACCAGCTTTCATGCCTATGATCGACCGGCGAGGAAGAATATGCAAGATAGTCATCACGTCGTCATCTTTCGTAAACTCTAGAGGTCCTTGAAGTGCTCTTTTGCATACTGTTCACAAGCCTATGTTGGGTAAGTCAGTAGGTCGTACTGGGATTGGTCACTTTGAGAACTCGCCTTAGCTGGCTTCCCAACTTTCTGTCCGATCACTTTCCACTTGTTCGCCTCGTATTCTTTGATCGCATCGCGAAGTGCTATGGACTATATTTCATCATGTCAAGACTGGTTCAGCACGAACACGGACGTGCTATGACCTTACCTCATCTTCCGCAAATTCAGCGTAGTGCATGTCCTGCCACATAAGTCAGGAATTTCATCGGACCTGGAGCGGTATTCGGGTGGATGCCTACCTTATACCAATGCTTCTTGACACTGCCCTCGGTCCGAGTGGGGAAAGTCTGAGAAGGCCCAGGACAACCAGGTTAGCACGCTTCAAAGTGGTACAGAACCGGTTGGTGCACCTTGGCAATTTCGCTCCAGCTGCGGCCAGCATCGCGCATAGTCTTCAGCCGCTGTTCCTCCTCTGCAGTCCAGGGAGTATTGGTTCTTCCTTTTTTCTTCGGGGTAGGCTCTGGTATTCCAGACCCCTGTTCATGTCCGGGCTCGCCTCCGGCCCCGGTCGCGCCTAGCGCTGGCATGGCCGCCGTGGTGCCTGCTTGGGGAGAAGCACGGCGTTTGCGCGGGTTCGGCGGAGGAATCTGAGTTTGGGGCATAGAAATGCCCTCGTATGAAGGCACTCGTGAGTAGGGATTAACTTGTTGCGCGGCTAAAAGATGGGATGGGGCGTTGGTCGGGACGGAGGTCTTAATTCGTTTCGATGTTGGAGGGGACCTGGTGTAATAGAACAATCCAAGACGTCAGTTTCAGAGACGTGACTAACACATGAAAGCGGAAAAAAGAAATAAATACGCGCAATCGCGAGCAGCGAGGATACAGGGCTGGAGTAGATAAGAAGCCGAATGAGGATGATGAATGTAGTGGTAGGGATAATCCGAACGATAATAGCAAATAACACGAATAATATTAACCACAATGATAATAAGAAATGACGGAAAAAACCAGGCGATTTGTGAATCAGCAGCCCGGGACAGGGAAAGACCCCAGGTCAATAAGAGAAAAAAGAAAGAACACGGTACAAATGAGGAGCACATGATCTGGGTTGGGAGTGTTGCAGGATACCTGTATATATGGACAGAAAGCAACACTGGAGCACTTCGCAGCCCTAACACTAGCTTTGGTGGGTGCTCTGGGAGGACGAAGGGTGACTTACGACATGGTTGAGGGTATGCAGTTCTCCCAATCACGCTCCGTGGATTCATCTGTAAATACAAATGTTTAGGAGATTAGCAAATCTGCTACTCGAGGAACGCTCTGAGTAGATCGCCCTGTCAAGTCTAGGGAAGCGAGCGCTGGTTACACCAAAGTGACGATGACACCAGTGCATCATACGGCATGGTAGTAGCATGGTAGTAGCGCCGCAGAATGGGAGATGGACGTCAGGACAGAAGGGGAGAGTCGACAGAAATGTTACATGCATGTGTGGAAGTGGTCGGCAGCGAGGGACCTGGAGTTGGCGCACGAATCTGAGTAAGAAGGAGAGCGACACAGTAGCTTCAAGTGAGAGAAAAGAGAGCAAAGCGAGAGAAGAAGGGAGGGGAGGCAGGGAGAGAGAAAGGACAGGACCGGTGAAGGGCAAGTGAAAGGCAAAAAGAAACAAATATAAACAGGTTTAGGCACAATCACAAGTAGACCTCTCGAGCATCTTAGGATACATAGACTGGAAATAGTACGGAGAAATACTGGAGTTGCGATGACAAGACGTTCTGGTCAGGACAAGTGGAGATGAAGACCAACACAGAGTGCAAAGAAAGGCTTACTGGTCGAAGTTCATGATTCGAAAGGCTTCGGGGGGTTTTTCTAATAGGTAGACACGAAGTACTTGGCTCGTTGCTGGAAAGTCGGCTTCAATTGACAGAGCGAGGCCAGTCAGGAGAGTAGGCAGGTAGGCAAATAAGACCTGAGTAGAGATACTAGAAGCTGTATAGTTGTGAATAGGTAGGTAGGTAGGCAGGCAGGCAAGGCAGGCAATCAATCGGAGTACTGGGCCCGTTAGCAGTTGCTGGGCAAAGACAGTCAGTAGTTTAGATGATCGTCGTTGTTCTGATTGTGCTCGGAGGTGAGGATCAGCAGCAAGTAAATAACAAGGTAAGCTCGAGTCCACCAGAGGTCAAAGATACATGTCTTTACATCTAGCGATGTGCAGAAGGAGACAGCAATGCCGGTACTGCGGATTGCAAGGTATACTAAGGGAACACTCGGGGGAAGAAAGGAGGAAGAAGAGAGGGGGAGGGTCTGCTTCCCTTGTCTGGAGCAAAAAGAAGAAAGATAGAAACGAGACGAATCTGCAGAGAGAAAAGAAATGGAAAGGCAAAAGGAACAGGAAAGCTCAGCAGTAACAACACAAGCGCAAGGCGAAACGAACGGACAAGTGACTGACAAGACAAGACTGACTACACTGCTGAGGGGAGATCCGCATCCACTCCATGGCCAAGCAGCTCGCATTTCACCAATCCCACAAGCTCCGACTCGTGTTTGCTTTTTTTTCCCTTCTTCTTAGCAAGTGTGGATAAAGTCAATGATTACTCCTTTACTCACTCCCTCCCTCCCTCACGCACTTACTCGCGCACCCACACTCTCCCTATTCATGTCTGTCCAGCACCTGCCGGTTAATTGAGACGGCGGACGCGCAGGAGGCGTTGTCGCCAAACCATCCATTGCATCACCCCATCATGCCCAAAAAAGAAATTTCCCTCCTTGAACTCATGGCTTTGCCTTGACAGACTAAAAGGGCCCAGTACAGATCCCGAGCCCCATTTCAACCAGCAGCAATTTCCCCTCTTCGATCGGTCGAAATTCCGAATGGGTTTACACGAGAACGGCAGAGGACTACGCACATCTTGACCTATGGGGAGGAGGGAGGGGCTGTGTGTCTGGCCCTCTGACACCTGTCTACTCATCCTTGTACTCATAGTACACAAGCACCCATACTATTTCGAGATCCTCTCCGTTTGTTCTTTATTCCGTTCACTTTTAACAATCGACTGCGTTGTACCCCGCTTCGGTCATTACATTATAATCATCCATCAGCCACACATTGCATCTTCAAATCCAGTCTCCAAACAAACAAGACAGTGAGCGATGATGACGGTGGCGGCGACATCCGGTCCATAAAGGCCCGCCGTCTCGGTTGTCTTCGCCAGGTTAACCTGGCGTTGCTGCAGTGTCCAAGTAGGCCAACTGGGTGGACAAGGCCAGTGAGGAGGCGGGGTCTGGACTATCCGGTGACCGTGAGCACGCCTACATCTTGAACGAACAATTTTGGTCTGCAATCATTGACCTTGGCACACCAGAAGAGAAGCAAGAAAAGCAAATCTTGAAGGCTCAAGGATGGTGATTTCTACTAACGACGTGGGCTCTAGCCTCTTTCCTTTCCCAATCAGATGCGCCTAACGGGATACGCTGCGAGCGGGGTAAGGATCCCTGAACTTCCACTAGGGCTCCCGTGTGCCTATCCGTCCTCTGCCTCGATTACTTTCACTCCATCTTTGTCGGGTCGGTCGATTCTCTGTGCCGTGTATTCTAGACAGGGTCTGGACATCTCCGATGCAAGCCTGGCCGCTCCTGCGATCTGGACTTTCAACTTTCAAATCGAGTAGGCTGGTGCCCGCCCGAGTTGGCAGACCTACATCTCCAGATTTTCAAAGTATGCATCTTATCTACGCCCCCCCAGCTGGCCCTTTTCTAGACGAATTTGAAAGATATCCCGTGGGTCCGTGAACCGTTATTAGACCCCCTGTGAAATCTTGTTGCGCACCGTCCTACCGAGGTTGTTGGCAGTTGAATGCTCAGGCTTATTCCCACCGCGCCATGGCGAAACACATAAAATGAGGGGTTGTGCAGGGAATGTTGTTGGATCGTCTTGAATACAAGGATGTTCAAGAAGTCAATAAAGACGAAATGCTGTCAGTGCTTGAAGAGCTCACAGAACTGAGAGAAAGATGTCGACCCCTTGCCGTTGTCTAATCGATAATTAGTATCTGTCTGTATGCGATCTTTCCCTCACGACTCATATTATCAATGGGAGAGAACTAGAATTTCCTAAGCGCATATATGCACTAGACTTGATCTCTCGGAGGATCATATATCATATCCATGAAACTGATATCGGCGCGAAGAGCTTGCTGTACGTATTGCTTTCTCGAAAGGTCTAGGTTACTAGATAAATCAAATCTAGGTATCCTGCAGACCATGTTCTGCGAGTTCATGACTCGAGTCAAGTAGCTATTTAAACGCTACGCTGAAACTTTTAGGCGCCTGTGGAATGTCTCGCGCTTATCTGCGCTAGTGGCGAGTCACTGGCTATGCAATAAAGGCACATGTCTCGATATTTTCTCAAAATGCTTCCCTCTAGTAGTTTTAAGAACTCGACGTAACATAAAAGCATAGTATCACGTGCTGAAAGCTGCCGTCACTAGGCTTATATGGACAGAGAGCTACTAGTACATATAGCAATATGAATGTCACGAATAACGACCATAACGCAATCCAGTCCTTGAACATAGTAGCTCCATAGTACAGTAGATACAAGGCATAGTTCACTGATCGTGAGGCATCAGTTGGAGTTGATTGAACCCATATTCTTGTTAATATGGGCACAATGGTTCTACACATATATAGACCCTACGGTCAGCATTCCACGAAGTTTACACATTTATACAATTGGTGGAACTGTCTGTAAGCATACTCTCTGAACAGTACCACATGAATTATTAGCTATGGTCAATCGTTGTGAGCCTTTGGGTTTGCCCTCGATAGGAGCGGTGACAAATTGAGTGATACATCTATTCGCCTAACACAAACCAGCATGGCAGCAGAAGCCGCTTAGGTTGGTTACAGTATTTCCGAGGCCTCCATAGGCTTGACTATGTTATTTCTATACGCTTTTCAAGCCAGTGGTAATTTCTTCGAATCGACATTTGATATGGACGAGATGGGAACATCTTCAGCTATCTATGAAGCTGGGTCGGGCCAAATTGAATCGTCAATTGCTGACGTCATCCGACTGATTGATGCTAGCATTGATCACGTGCTAGACACGCGGCCACCCGTGACGGGAACATCCCCAGCTTCTTACGCCTTGAGGTGGATCCCGCTGAGACAGTGAACGGAGCTACCCCTTCGTTAAGACCAGATAAGACACGCAACCCATCGGCGAGCTTCACCAACGCCACTTTTCTTCTCTGCTATTGCCAATTCTATTCCTCCTGTCCTCAGTGGGCTTTATTGTCCCATATTTGCAATCGAGTTGCCTGGTGCACCTCGCAACCTACACCTCTAACACAAGTCGTATAGCACCGACCGGGCCTACCTGATAAAAGAAGCACGGTCCACAGTTAGTCACACCGTCTCTGGGTGTTTTTTTGGTAGTCTCAACGGTGGTAGTTGAGGCCTTTGAAGAATTCTTAGTCGTGCAGCTGGGCTTCCAGAGCTAGTCAGCTCCGATATACGTTCGCAATCATGGTTAACCTGAACATGAATTTGTTCCGCGCCTTGGGCGACTTCTCCCACCTCGGGTCTAAATGCGTCCTAATATGGGCTATACATCGTAACCAGAGTGCCGAGGGTATGTTAGCTGTGACACGATGCTAGACTGTCCTCCAAGCTAATCGATTGTACTGCAATGCAGGTGTATCGCTCCTTACACAAATGCTTTACGCTATGGTCTTCGTCACGCGTTACCTTGACCTCTTTCGGAAAGAAGCTTGGGATTCGTTCTACCTCGTCTTCTTCAAGTTATTCTATACCATCTCATCGTTCTATGTCATCTATATAATGATGAAGGTCTTCCCGCGCACGCGGGAGAAGGAGAGAGCATGGAAATTGGCATTGATTTCTGTTGGGCTGTCGCTTGTACTGGCCCCAATCTCACTTGGCATATTCAAGGGCTATGGATCTGGCCGGTGGTTCAGTGAGGTGAGTTTGATCAAGAATGTTATATCTCCTGATGTTACATGACTGACGTCGCACGGGGTAGACATGCTGGGCTTTCTCGATCATCCTCGAATCCGTCTGCGTTCTCCCACAGTTATTGCTCTTGCGCCAGACCACCGTCCCAACTGTCATCGACTCATATTACCTACTGATGCTGGGGTCATATCGAGCTTTCTACATTCTAAACTGGCTCGTGCGCGGGTTCGGCGCCGAGCATCACTGGGAGCCAATTGCCGACATATTCGGCCTCGTTCAGACTGCTTTCTACATCGACTTTGCCTGGGTCTACTACTCCCGTCAGCGCGTGAAGCTTCGTAACGGAGGCGTGGTTGACTCGGACGATTTCCGCCATAGTTGGCTCGTGAGCAGGGTGCTCAATCTGGTCAATTTCAGGCAACGCAGGGTGGCGGATGAGGAGCAGAGTCTGAACGATGATGATTTTGAAGAAGAGAGGGTCAACGGGGAAAGACCAAAGAACAACCGGTGGGGCGCAAGAGGGATCTCGGTCTCCGCTGATGACACCCTGGAGGATCGGCGGCCCGATGCTCACGGTTCGAGTCTTGAGAACGACTTAGAAGGGTTCTCGGAAGATGAGGAAGATGACGTCCCATCATACCAGGCAAACAAGGTCTCTTCTTTTGGGGCCGCCGGCAATCGGGATTGAGCTGTTTGATCATTGGGCCATATATAGAATTCTTGGGTGTAAATTTGGGCCTCTAGCTACTGTTTCTCAGGCGTAAATTCCGCTCACTGGGTTTTATTGCGAATCATCATATTTCCATAGCTACATGACCAACTTTACTGTCTGCTTCCATGTCGACGTTGAATGACGGAAATTTAAAATCCTTCTAGAAGACGCAGTAGCGGCGAGTAATGAGCGATTATCCATACCGTGTTAGGCATAGAGCAGTCTCAGGCGCAGTCCTCGTCCAGCAATCGATCAGAAATGATTCGACCATTCGTTTAGGTATTCACAACATGGCAGCATGTCATTGCGCGATTCGGGATGAAGTCATCCTGGAGGGATTTCGACGTGGGGATGAAACAGGTTTTAACAGAACGGGCCCGTTTGTTTCAGACTTGAACCTCTGAGCACACTGCTGCGCCTGCTCATAGCCACGGTTAGGTTGTTTGAGGAAATGTAGATGGATGCAGAAGATGGGCGAAAGTGTTACAGAGTTACGAAAGGGGTGTTACGAGTGGCCAGAGCAACCAGAAACGACGGGGGGCCGATTTGTCCTTTTGGGGTACTCTGTAGTAGTAAGTGTGGGTTAGGTGGTAGTTTGGACCTGAGGGCAAAAACGCCTAGGGGACAACCTTGCCAGCATACTTCTTACGGTATTTACTGAGTGCTCATTACTCGGCATAGCCGGAATCAGGGCCTGTCATCATGATGGGGGTGAACCTTTCCTTCCCCCGTCAGGTCCCCGAGGAAGCAAAAATAGAAATCCTTCAGTGTTTAAATACGTTACTTCATACTAGTTAGCGGTCATTGCCGTCCGGCCCTTACAGAGTGACTGCACAGCAGGAGATGATGATGCTACGCACTCCTTGCTCACATCGAATAGAGAAGCTGCGGGGAAATCCGTGACATCACGTGTGCATCACGAGGTCTCCGATCGGTTGATAGACGAAGCGAAGATCTTCCATCGACCACATGGCGAATTTGCAATCCATGCGATGGTCGCAATCATGACACGCCGGACACAACCCGTTCTATAGGGCCAAATACAAGGATGCCACAGAAACCCGCCGGGAATATGACGGGACGGCATTGTCGTGCATTCCTGCGGAAGCATGTTTGACGATTCCCCATCCCTGGGGTATCGTGCCATCGGTATTGAATTCCAAGGCGGACAACGACATAACAGTATCCTGGCTTTTGGGAAGAGATCATCACTATCGCTTCTGGCGCGTAATGGACTGTCAATTATTCCGACGTCACGTGGCTTAGCTGGAATGCAGACAGCCGGTCGAATTCAAAGACGCCAAATAATTCATCCAATCCATGATCCCTCGAGCCTCTGTTTCTGGACAACACCATCGTGTCTACTCGGTAGATTTGACCAGGAAATCCTGAAATCAACACGCCATGGATGGAGAGAGGCCATGCTTCCAAACCAAACTTTCCACATCTAGTCATTTCAGGACCGACCGAAAGACCGACTTGGTGGTCAGCTTTCCTTTTTTTTTTCCACCCCCGTTTTCCTCGTTCCCTTGACGGGTTATCCGTAGGGCAAAGTCGAAGATCGCAGAAGCATGTCGGAGTCTGACAAGCCTGCCCAGGCTGGGTTTAGTTCCGACCCATTGAGACCCACCAGGATTTACAGCCGCAATCACCACGAAGCGCTTAATGGCCTAACCCTGCCCGGAGGATCCTTGCTCCTCCCTCCCCTTCCTTCTCTTGCCCCAATTGAGATTTATTCTGTTCCTTGATGTCCTTCTCCTGGATTCGCTTGACCGTAATTCTTCCAGAGCCATCCGAGCAGGATTTAGCTGCGTCTACTAACAAAAGCTCGAGGATCCTGGCTGATGACTTCCGGTCGTTGGGGCTAGGTTCAGCAGCCTTGCAATTCGTCCGTTGTAGCTTGCTCTCCACCCATGCGTAGCCGCTATAGGAGTACAGGAGCTGCGATGCAATCATCTGCCCGTGGGTCTTTAGGAAAATAATGATTTCTCCCCTGCAGCGTACATTTTCAATATCCCTCTTTGGCTAAGGATTCTCATCTGCATTGGTGATTCTCATGCCCTTTTGTCCTTTTGGGACAGTTTTGCATCGATGGCGGTGGCCCATCTATGTATTGGTCAGATCGAGCGCTAACCTATGGACTGCCATTTGATATGGCGATCAAGCGGCTTCGCACTGCCAGTCCTCACTCCATTACCCTGACATAATTTAACAGTTCTCAATTCGGAATCCAGACCATCGGCACTAAGATCGCAGAAGGTGTTGCCCTGCTCTTGAGTAACGGTGGGGTGGGCCTTGGAGATGCAAGTCTGAGCCCCCGAAGGTTTTTTGGGGGCTGGATTGTCTCCGTTTCTCATCTCATGAACGACAATGAGAAATTATCTCTTTTCGATTACCTTCAATTTCCAGAGCATGGCACTGTCCTCTATCAGAAATAACCAGGCGCTTAAAGGCAGGCTCATCGTCGACCTTACCTCTCCCGCCAGGAACAATTTTGTGCGGCACAGCATTAGTGGGCGGGACTTACTAGTATGGTCTTTCATACTCACTGAGCCTGTTGATAGCAAAAACAAAAAGCTTCAAGCTTCTGGTCCTGCCTTGCGAGGCATTCCGACTTTCTTTGACATTCCTTTCTTAATATATATGAGCACACGAAGACTCCGTCATTGATACGCCTTTCCTTATCATTTCTCTTTCCTCCCACCAGACCATCCATTTCCCTTCCTATATAATATCTATATGCTGGGAAGTGGATCAGCCTCGGATGATCTTTGTCAATACCAGTGGCGGCCGGATTGTTCATTTATCTTGTCGGACTTCGCCACCAGTCTAATTACTTTCACGTCTTCCTTCCGTGTTTCAATCACTGTCTCATACACTAATTCACCATTCCGTCATCTATCAAGGAAGGGCCTCAACTGGCTTCTAGAATGTATCCGCAAACCCCTATGGGATACTCGGGGCCGATAACCTTCACCCATGGCGCTGTCAATTCCGGGGAGGGGATCGAAGACCTATATGCAGCGATGCAACCGCAGTGGACCGGATTGGAAGCTGTATGTTGCATAGTCAACCAATCTCCACAGACGAACCTCTTGAAGCTGACCGGCTCTGAGTCGATGCAGTCGCCATATGGAGGAGTCAACCATCCGTATACTACCACGGCAGCATTCCCCACCGGCTCCATCCTCACCCCCATCAGCCTTCCCGATAGCTCCTTCAGACCGAGTCCGGTACTCAGTCATCATTCGCACGATTTCCAATACAATCCCAATGACATCGTCCCATCTCAAGGACTAGGTATCACAGCTCCATTTCCGAGCAGCTTCCCTCGGACCGTGACTGCGGGCCTGGGGCACTCTCTGGACGAACTGGAATATGGCATGGGCGAGGTAGAGCACTCGCCTCATCCCCCGCCAGCAAAGAGAGCCCGACGTGGTCCGAAGCAGGCAGTCACGCCGCGGGAAGCCCCCGTTACCATCCTTCCCAATCCCGAGGGGCTACAGCGACTAGAACAAGAGCGAAGACAAGGGGCCGCTGACGCTCAGCAGCAACAGCGGCCTCGCGCCCCAGGAAGGGGCCGCAGAGATCCCCAGGCTGAGGAGGAAGATGCATTCGTGGAGCGGCTGCGGGAACAGAACTTGGCATGGAAGGTGATCCGGGAGATGTTCCGGGAGAAATTCCACAAGGATGCATCCGAGGCGCGGCTGCAGATGCGCATGTTGCGGCGGCGCAAGGAGCGCCTGGCTCGCTGGGATGAAAACGATGTGAGTACGTGCTCCGTAAGCAGTCCAAAACTGCCAACTAATCATTAACGGTCAAGTCATTCAGATCCGCCTACTCATCAAGGCTCGGGATTATTGGGAGCACGAGAAGTACAATGTGATTGCACAAAAGGTATGAGTCCTGCTATCTATCGATGGAAAAATAAAAATACCAAGTGCTGACTATATTCTCGCTCGTCTCAGATGAGGGAGTTTGGAGCCGGACAGTACACGCCACAGCAATGCGAGGCCCAACTACGGTATCTTGATGCGCAGAATCGGGACCGCAGCGGTCTGGTCACGCGGCCACGAATAGCTGAGCCTGCGCAGGCACGACGACGAGTCTGGCCGCGCTCATCATCTCAGAGCCTGGGTGGTGAAACAGGAAGGTAGCGTAATTGGGTAGAAGGTCTTGATGGGCTCAGATGCATGATGAGGCGTATATGGCTTGGTTACGGGCTTTCTTTCGTTTTTACTTTGTTTTGGGCTAATGGTATGCCGGGATGTATTCCGTTCGGCGATTTGCATGCTAGCGTCCTGCCTTTTTTATTTCTTTTCTCCTGTCTATCTGAGCTAATTGGTATATACCCTGTGGCTGAACGCATACGAAATGACATTTCATGGATAACAACATCCACGCCTTACAGTCTGACAGTTGCACAAACTATTTTAACCATCCAGGGATATCCATCCGAAGATCGTGTAACCCATCAATCAAGAGAAGATCACGGTACTAGTAGAGCGAGCCAATGAGGGTGTTGCTCTCTACTGGTTTTTTTTACTCGTCATAAGCAGAGAACAAAGAACCAAGATAGCAGCCAAGCGTCACACCGTACAAACGAGAACAATTTAAAATAGACTTTGGCGCGGTTCTTACTTCTTCGCAACGGCTGCCGATCCCAGGGCCAGCCCCAGAAGCCACGAGCTGATGCATACGGAGTACGGAGGACGCAGAGTAGTACCTGGAGAAGTTCTGATATCATGCGCAGCACTGCGGGCAAAGCAGCAGCGCTTCTCCAATAGTTAACCGCCCGCCAGCCCCAAGCCACCACAACTACTACCTTACCACATTCCTTCTTATGCTTGGCCTATTCTATTCTAGTTCTCAGACCCTAGCATTCTTGGCCCGATTCTATGTGCAGTGCAACGTCTTGTCCTTGTCCCCAGATAGTTATAACCTCGTGATCTGCCAGTGCTACTCAGCCTTACTGCCTTACTTTCCTCCCACAAGATATCAACCAAGTCTTAAATTTAGTACTATATCGTATTCATACACTTTCGAGAGAGGCTGGACAGGGCACAGCATCGATCTAAACATATCGTGCATCTCTAAGCTCTATACTCCCTGGGGAAAATAGTCGATCCCTAGGACAAGACCACTTAAAGTCAACCTCGCGAAACAAACCCACAATTGAAAGCACATCAATCCACCCAAAAGAAAAGCCTAACCACAGAACCCGCAGATCAAACGCCATCGACCCTCTCAGACGCACAGCAACCGCCAACTCGATTCGCCCCGACAAAGAAAGGCAAACAAGGGTTCGGGTTGCAATTTGCGGCTGTCATTGATGGGTATGTATCAAACTCTACTACAAATAGCTTGATCCCCATTTACTTACGGTAGTAGTAATCCCAATACCCAGCACCCACTCAGAGACCGTACATAGCCGCTAGCGGCTATTTGCCGGACTGTACAGATACTTTGTACCCTTGAGTTGGCCACCTGGCAGGAGACATGACTCGTAAGTTATACTCTAATTCCCTTGGTCTCATCACTTACGGTAGTAAGAGGTGTTCTTTGTTTGTGGTGGTTGATAGATAGAACTCTGGTCTACTGTTAGACACCGTTCTCTGGGGGCGGGGTGGTTCTCGCTGCCTTCTTCCTTCTGGGGAAGAGTTAGTTCGAGCTTCTATGCTTGCTAGTGCTCGGTGGTGGCGATCGGTTCGAGCTCACTCGGACTATTAGTTGCCTACCGGATTAAGGTAATGAGATTGACCTCCAAGCTGCGTGCAGTGCGCTGGGTCATCCCAGTACGAGTTGCTGATTAGGTCCCCGATAGCGACAGCGTGTCAAGACCCTTACCCGCCAGGATGCCAGGATGGTTAGCGTCTCGCGTAGTGGTTACTGTACTATCCATGCTTCATGCCCCGCTCTGGATCTGATGTTTCTGGCTGGCGTGGTAGCTACACGAACGGGAGTTCACGATATGTTGTGCGAGGTGCTACTGGAGATGCACATAGCCGTCAAGGATGGGGGGTCTTACATCATGTTCTTTTGTGTCTCAAATCTGGTGTCTGAGTGGATTGAGATGCAGAGGATGTCTATGGCGTGCATCTTAGTGGGATTCTGTGGGCTTGTGAATCAACGTAGGTCGTTTGGGGTGGTATTCTTTTCTCCATACCGATAGGGAAGTTGGCTTGAGCTGTGGGTCCGTTCTTGACAGCCTCGCTCCGACATCCGGTGCAGGCTGGATATCAATCCTGTCTTGATCTATAGCTTGGGAAAGGCCAATGTATGCTGTCAACAGCGAAGAGTACTAGAAAAGAGAAGGGTAGGTAGGATCCGGAATGAGTGCAAGGAAAATCGTATCTTGGAGATGAGCCAGTCTAAGCAGGTCTAACATTCTCTATCATTGGCTATCGTCGTCATCGTCTTCATCACCCGCATCATCGACGATCGGAAACGTCAACAACGCCGCGACACCCCCCAGCCCATCCAGTCTCCGGCCGCTCTCATGATCCGAGCTCAACACGCGCACCTCGCCCCCCTCAACATCCCGCACGCGGTCCACCAGCGACACCCAGCGTTTGCGCTCGGCCACGTCCTGCGATCGAAACAGCCGGTTGGAGATGATCAGCACGCCACCGCCGCGGCCCACGGCACCCTGATCGACGGCCGACTCGACCTCGCGCGGGCCGTAGGTCGCCTTATTGGTCTCCTTGCGCAGCTGATCTAGGAAGTCGTCCATGAGTCTCGTCTCGCGTGCGTACTTGGTGTCCGCCAGGATCGTTTTCACGGCGGGTGACTGCAGTACCTCCGCCAGGGAGTGGAGGTATCCCGAGGCCGAGTGTACGACCACGATGCTCGGGAGGAGGCGTTTGAGCGCCGGCATGCTGGTATTAGCCACCGACTGGATATATTTCTGAAACCCGGCCGCCACGAAGCCCGGCGAAGCAAGGAGGACGGGTCGCACGGTCTCGTTGTTGGTGGAGAGCGAGGTGGCACTAGTGTTGAATTCCATCTGCCGGACGAGGGTGTCGAGCGTAACTTGGAAGAATTTGTTCATGCCCTGTGTCGCCCCATTTTCCCAGCGGGAAGGAGCAGGACGTTAGCAAATGTAGAGGCTTTGACGGGAGGAGGAACAGATGTCCAAACAAAGGGAAACAGTAAACAGTTTCTGTGAAACATTACCTTGTCGTGATCCCCGCCACCTTGTCGCTTGCGAGGCACAGACATCTCAACCTTCTGTTTGAGGATTGTCTGAAACTGCCCGATGAAGCAGATATGAGCCAGTCCCTCTTGCATCACAACGGCCACAGCCTCGGCCCGACGATTGCCACTCTCATCCACCGCGTCCTTGAGCATCTGAACAGCGATGCTGTCCCATCCCACCCCTTCCCCGTCAGATCCAATCTCCTTCTCAAGTGTGAAATTGCGGTTCAGCTCGAGGTCGAGGGTGTGGTGCTGTCCGACCTTGGTATGTGCCGTCTCATTTACTATCTGTCCGCTTACGTGAAGCTGCGAGCTCTGCGGGTCGAAGTCGAGGCTTTTTACTCGAATCTCGAGGGTCAGGTGTACTCGCGCCGAGCTTGTTGAACCGGTATCTTGGGTGGTGGTGACACGGCGGATGGCGCTGGCGCGGAGGAGGTCGCCCGGTCGAATGAGGTTGTAAGCATGCCACTGTGCGAATATATCAGGGATAAGTTTCATTTTCTCGGTGGCTTGAACGTGGGGCTGCGTACCATGTCCTCTGGCTCTTCGGGGCACAGCGTCACCGTACCGGAGCCATTGAGCTCGATTTTGTTCTTGACCAAACGCATGCTTGGTGTATCTCCTGATTTGGGGGGTATGTATATGTCTATAGAGAGGAAAATTGGTATCAGAACGTAAAGAGATTGCCGACCCTTTTCAGGTTCTAGACGCTATGCAAATTCGGCGTTGCTGCTGGTTTGTCTATTGCGTTCTGGAGGAATGACGAAGGACATGCAACCTGAGGCAGAAGAAGTGCGGGACACTTCTCGAAGAGGAAAAGTGCCTATTGTGGGTGATGCTTATCGATAAGAGATAACGAAGCGAGCTGCTCCGTCTCTTTTTATCTGCTTGTGATTGTCCTTCGTCTCCATAGAAAGATTCATTTGTGATTAGATGCTGTTTCCTATGCATTCTGGTACGAAGTTTTATCGTCTCAGCACCTACAGTACCGGGAAATATGACTATTCTTCTGTTGAGCTGTATGATGCGGCATCGCATAGCCGATGGTCTTTGCTGCTCGGCATGTCCCTTCTGATGGCCTGTCACTATAATAACATCTTGATCGAACCCTGTCTTACTTTGTGACAATATGCCATATTAGCACGCTATGTCTTTCTTGAAAATGACGGGTGGAGATTCAGTATTTACCTTCGTGATCAACCTCGTGAAGTGCCAGAAGTGCCCACGACTACTCTGAGGGAAAGTGTCCTCTGCATCGTTCTCACATAGTTGAACCTCATACTCAATTTCCGTCGCAATGACTCTCTCATCGATGAGAGCTAGCAACGCAACATCGTCAGTCATATCTTCTATATGCTAAGCCAGAACCTCAGAGCCTGTCTGTAGGAAAACGGAAACGGGCACCAGTTCCGCTCTGCGTGTAGCTCAACGATTGCAATTAACTGGCAGATGTGCTGCTGGCGTCCATATTCAAGCAGGCTTTGGCAGCAAGCTGGTAGCCAGGATTCATGAAAGGGAGAATCGATATATGAAATTGCCCTTAGTCTGACATGCTCGAAGTCGACTGCGCTAAGCGGAGGCACTCTCCTTAATAGCGGTGATCGCGACCTTGACACTCATGGTGGGTTTTATGGAAATATAGATCACGTCCGAGGCTATCTTCTTCTCCGATTGAACTCGTTGCTTTCGCAATTAATGTACAAGCTGGCGCACAACCCTAGGCGGCACCGACGGTCGGATGTCCGAATTCGGCTTGACCGCTAACTGCGAGCCCAGGGACGGGCGGGCATCATAAACTTAACTGATTGATCAACTGATTGATAATGCCCGTGGACCCACAATTGATCTCTCGGTTCACGGCGACGGCGCATCCCTCGTGGCATGCCATGCTGCGGAGCGGCAGCTTGGAATTTGGAAATTTAGTTTTGAATGTCTTCGTTCACAAACTCCTGAGTTCTCTTCGCTCTCTTCTCACACACCTGTATCTGTGTGCCTGATATCTCGTCTCGCTAGTACAGATTGATACGTGCGTCTATCGACAGACATCATGGCTTCACTTTCCCTTGCCTCGACCAGGAAGATGGTCTCGGGATACGAGATTCCGGTGATAGGATTCGGGGTGAGTGGTAGCCGATTCAAACCCTCTTGCAAGCATTCGATTAACAGAATTGCAGTCATATCAGACGTATGTCTCTATTAGGATTAACAATCGAGCCTCTCCGGTCTTGGCTGACAAACGCTTTGTTCGAATTGTAGCCCTCCAGATGTCACCGAAAAAGTGATCCTTAAGGCCCTGGAAGCTGGCTACCGCCATGTATGATCCTTTGTTCCATCCTATCTTTTCAGCAATATGCACCACAGCAGTAAATGACACAATTCCCCTATCTGAATAGGTCGACTGTGCGCAGCTATACCAGAACGAAGCCGAGTGCGCGGCTGCCATCTATAACTCTGGAATCGAGCGTGCCAAGATCTTTTATACAACCAAGATCCCTGATTCCCATATGTCTTACGAGAAGGCCAAGGAAGCCATTGAAGCCAGTCTATCCGCGGCATCTTGCTTAGGCTACATCGACCTGTACGGACTATCTCCTTCAAATCCTACGGCAGATCTTGACAACGAAACTGACCATTACCATAGTGTCCTCCTACACACTCCCTACGGGGGCAAAGAAGGTCGACTCGGCGCCTGGCGCGCCCTCGTGGAAGCGCAAAAGACCCGCAAGATCCGCTCCATCGGCGTCTCCAACTATGGGATCCGCCACCTTGAGGAGCTAGAGCACTACATCCGGACCAGCGGGGTCGGGGGTCAAATTTCCGTCGCCCAGTACGAGATCCACCCTTGGTGTGCCCGCGAGGACATCGTCGCATGGCTGAAGAAGCGGGACATCGTCGTCGAAGCCTATTCGCCGCTGGTGCAGGCGAAACGGATGAACGAACCGATGCTGCAGAGCTTGGCTAAGAAGTACAAAAAGTCCCCGGCGCAGATCTTGGTTCGCTGGAGTTTACAGAAGGTTTGTAGCAAATTTTCCCTCGCCTTTTCCTACCAGGAAGATGGCTGATCCATTACTCTAGGGATATGTGCCGTTGCCCAAGTCGGTGACCGACTTCCGGATCAAGGAGAACACACAAGTGTTCGATTTCGAGCTGTCTCAAGAGGATATGCGTCAGTTGCAGACGGATGAGCATGCTCCTGTATGCTGGGACCTTGCTCGGGATTCGAAGCTGTAAGGGATGAATGTAGTGTGAACCCGTATCTAGGACATGAATTCAAGGATACATGCCTACAAATTAGACTAAGATAAAGGCACTGTGCTTAGTAGCATGAACCATTATCCAGGTTGTTTCCTCTGGATGTTGATCATCGTTGGTGGAAGCACTTACCGGCTGGGTTACCCGAATCAGAATACTGTTGATCCCGCTTCGGTATAACGTATCCCCGCAACGGCTATCCTTCCTTCCGTCTCGCCTTTTCACCCGATAACTTAATCTCCCCAAACAATTCATCTCATGCCTAGCGGTGCCTTCATACATTTGTTTACTTTTTTGGCGTTTTTTTTTTCTGCTGTTGTTGATATGTAATTTCCCGCACAGACACACTCTCTTTTCAAATCCTCCCTAACCTTCTAAAACTCACCAACATCGTTGTCTCAAATGTCTATCTCCAGCCATACCTATCCTAAAATCAGGAAGTCATTTCCTCTCCGTCGTCGTTGCCGCCCTACCTCCGTCTAAACTCCGCGCCCCCCCCTCCCCCCGCGAGAAACCATCACAAATACTATAGACCCACCTCGGTTGTGTTCCTGTCTTCTCAGACCGACAAACAATGTCCCCCACCAAGAAACGCATCATCCTCGAGAAATCCCGCACCGTCCGCCGGCGGTACCAGCGCAGCAACAAGCGGCTCCAGTTCACGGCCTCGCAGATCGCGCGCATCGAGCGCGAGCAGGAGCGCGAGCGCCGCGCGCAGCACCTCCGTGATCGGGACAAGAAACGCATCGCCAACAAGAAGAAGAAGGCGGAGAAGGAGGCCCGCGACCGCGAGGAGCGGCGGCGGCTGGGGCTGATGGGGCTGCCGGATCCGAATGCGCCGGTCGTGCCGTCGAGTCAGCCTTCGCTGTTCAGCTTTATTAAGAAGCCTTCTATTGGTGGTAGTGGTGGTGGTGGTGGTGCTGCTGCTGCTAGGGGTGCGGGTGCGGGTGAGGGTGTTGGGGAAGGGGATAAGCTTTGTGATGTTGATTCAGGGGAGAGTAGTACGGAGCTTGAGGATCTTGATCTCGAAGGTTGGGAAAGTGAGTCTCTCACGGCTATGGAGGATGGGGTGGTTGATGCGAAAGTGCAGGGTTGGGGCCGTGATGTGTCTCTTGGTGAAAATGAGGAGAGCGCTGTTGCGGCTATTGCTGCTGCTGAGGACAAGCCTGCCAGTACGGATGACAAGCCTCGTTGGGAGGATGATCAGGTGGAGGAAGATGAGTTCTCAGATTGCTCCATCTTTGACTACGAGGATATCATCGGGAAAACCGAGACCGTTGCGACTGATGTTTTAAACACGAAGGAGGTCGAGAAGGCTAAAGAAAGCATAGACGCCAAGGATGCAATAGACACCACTGTCATAAACACCACCACGATAGACACCAATGTGGCTGGCGTGACTGCGATAGACACCGCCGCGATAGACAGCAACGCCGCAATCACGGATACCCTCCAGGCAAGGCCTGCGATAGAGCAAAGAGCTATATCTAGCTGGTCGGCAAGCGACTCATTTCAGGATGAAACGGCACTTTTGTTGGAAGAATTGGGCCATGAGTTTGACACCGACGAGGAGTTTGAACAGGCGCTGGGCGCGCTGGATGCTGTATAAGCCAATAGACACAAATGCATTATGGAGACTAATGCATGCAACAACTCGGCTTCCGACCCGATGCGATCCGCGCATATCGGATGGCGGCCGCGGCGGGAGCCCCTCGTCGGGTCGGGCGGTGATAAGCTGGGCGGCTAGCGTTCCCCGCCCGCCCTTGTTATCTGCAACTGTTCCGACGGATTGTTGCAAACAATCCGCGTGGGAAGCTCGGAGCAGATGGAATTAATGGTGGTTGGACAACACGATTGGATATACGGATATGGCAGGAGGAAAGATTGCCGCAGCAATGGGAAATGGTCTGGCTGGGAGCGTTGAACGCTGCAAGAAGAGGACGCGAAGTTCCCCGCTTGTGCCATGACGTCGACCCCGCTCGAGCTTCCTTGAGCTCCTGCTTGTCAATCTTCGGATCACACGATTTTCGTTCCTTTCCTCCCTCTTATTTTGTCTAAACTAGCAAGCAGTTTCCACCGAACAGCTGTGAGCAGCCAGAAAGACACATCATGCCTACCGTCACCGTCAACAACCACGGGATCTATTATGCCGACTCCCACCCGGACGGAGCCCCAGCCAACGGCTCTACTTTCATCTTCATTCACGGGCTAGGCTCTTCGCAGAACTACTACTTCCCCATCCTCCCATTCCTCACCGATCACCGGTGCATCACATTGGATACTTATGGCTCCGCCCGCTCGACCTACACCGGCCAGCCGGTATCCATCGAATCCATTGCCGCAGATGTGATCGCTGTACTGGACGCGTTGCATGTGCCTCAGGCCGTGGTTGTCGGCCATTCCATGGGTGGACTGGTGGTGACCCTCCTGGGGGCCCAGTATGCGGACCGTGTGAAGGCCGTAGTGGCCGTTGGTCCAACCCACCCGTCGGAGAAGTTGGCGTCTGTCATGGGCCAGCGCAGCGAAACCGTTTTGAACTGTAAGCCTCTGCACTTCTTTGCTGGAAATCATATATGCTAACGGGCAGTAGCGGGCATGGAACCCATGGCCAACACCATCCCCAGTGGTGCCACGGGCACGCGCTGCTCGCCGCTCGCCAAGGCCTTGATCCGCGAATTGATCATCGGACAGAACCCCAAGGGATACGCCGCTCTCTGCCAGGCGATCGCCAATGCTCCGGCTATTGACTACTCGGCCATCAAGGCGCCGTTTTTGTTGATCGCCGGCGAGGAAGACAAGTCGGCTTCGCTGGAGGGGTGTCAGCATATTTTTGATCACGTGTCGAGCGGGAACAAGAAGATGGAAGTGTTGTCGCAGATTGGGCACTGGCATTGCGTGGAGGCGCCGGAGGAGGTGGGGCGGCTTGTCAGTGAGTTTGCAGCTGCTTTGTAGATGGTAGACTGAGTATAATGGAGTCTGTGGCAAAGACTCGGCAATAGGCCTGGTATCAAGCTTAGGGTAGTGACCAACGACCCAGTTGGACTATGACATGACTCGCGAATGAAGCATTAGAAGGAATTGAAACAGTCGGTATCATATGAATTACTATATACATAAAATGAATCTCTCCTACCAGGTACAGCACACCTGCTAATTCTCTCAACCATGTACACCCAACCTTCTCACAAGAGAAGGGGTCTAGTTTGACGCGGGCGCCGCCGCCAACTTGACATCATACTCCAACTCAAGACCAGCTTGAGGGTCGTCCTTACGCTCGACAAAGTCCACAATCAGGGAGTCCTTGACGGCGAAGACCGAGTCATTGGTGAGGTAGGGGTCCTTGCGGTCGAAGATCTGTGTTGTGAGGGGTTTGTACCCTTCTTGGGTGGCCTATCGTTAGTATTGTTAGCATCCTGCTTGTTTAAAAGGATTTGATGAAACAAAACGTACAATGATATGGATATGCGCCGGCCGGAACGGATGCCGGTCCATCAACTCGAGGAGTTTTCCTGCGGGTCCTGACGTCCAAGTTAGCCAGAAAGCTCTGCATCCCAACAACACCCGCCCGGCACATAAAAATACATACCATCATCAGGAACAGGATACGGCGTCGGCCGCAAACAATAAAACCCATAGCGCCCATTTTCATCCGTCCGAAACTTCCCCCGCAGATTAAACTCCTCCTGCGCGGCGTCCTGCTGCTCGTACAGCCCGTTGGTGCTCGCCTGCCAGACCTCGACCGTCGCGCCCACCAGCGGCTGCTTCGTGGCGTGGTCCACCACCCGGCCGTGCATGTACGCCATCTCGCCGTCCGCGACGGGGGTGCGCACGATACTCTCGCCGTTTTGGCGGTAGGGGGTGTCGGCGCGGAAGAAGGGGCCCAGGATGGCGGTGGCGGTGGGGGCGTCTTGGGCTTCGGAGGCGAGGGTGTAGGTTATTTCGTCGACCAACCTGTTTTTTTTTTTTTGTTTCCTTGTGAGTATGGGGGTTTGTTGGGAAGAGGCTGGGGGGAAAGGGGGAGGGTAACTTACGATTCCAATCCTATCACATCCGTCACAAGTTGTCCCTCATTCCGTTTGTCGTCGCTCATTTGACCCGCCCAGTTCATGAAATTCACGGCGGCCATCCACTCGTCAACGGTGACTTCGTTCTCGCGGGCGAAATCGTGGACATGGCGGATCAGTCCGGTCATCAGTTGGCGGAAACGCGGGGTCGTTTTGGGGCCCATTGCGTTGATGACATTGTCGGTGAAGGTGGGGTCGAAGCGGTGGGGGGCGGACATTTTGTTGGATGTGTGGTCTGGGGGGAGAGGGGGTTAGATGAGGTGATAGAGAAGAGGATGAGATGAGAGGGATGCTGACGCGCTTGACGGAAGGTGATCAGATTATATCGGTCCTAAATACTTATAGTTACATTTGCTGATTGTCGCTTTCCTCTCGACGGCCCCGGATTTGAAGGCAACGTATGGTGATTGGCTTCGGAAGCGGATCGTCCCCCGCTTCTATCCCTGGAGAGACTTCGGATCCCTCCATTTCCGATTTCCCCGCAGTTGGCTTCCGATCATTCTTCTATTACTTGCTCCCGAACACAACATTATGATTGAGTTATACGGAGTACACAGTAATGATTTGACCATATGCACAGTTTTAGTAAGTATATGGCACTACTTGCTCCCGTCGGACTTTGGGCCTCCCTTTGGATTCCGGCGCCGACTCCATTCCGCCGGCCACTCCTGCACCACCGCCCCGCGCTCCCAGATCGTCCCCAGCCGCCGCTCCACCACCGCCTCAAACACCTCCAGCGGCACCCGGCCCTCGATCCCCTCACTCAGAATCACCCCATTCTCACTGCGCCAGAACGGACACCCTGCCTCCAGCGCCTTCACCAGGTCGATATAGATCAGCACCTGCGCATCGCGCCGCATCCCCGAGATCACCTGCTGTTGTTCGCCGACCACCCCGCCCTCCTCTTTTTCTGCCGCCGCCGCAGCGCACCGCGCCAGCACCACCTCCCGTGTCGGGCCCGTCGCGAAGTGCACCTGATTACGGCCCATACACCGCAGCCCGCCCGACTCGAGAATCAACGGCCACGCCCCGTGGAAGGTGCCGTGGACAACAGTGGCGGGGAGTTTGGACCGGTCCCCGTCGAGGGTGAGGCGCTCCAGAAGTCCCGCGGCCTCGACGCTCTTGATACTGTGGCCCTGGGTCGCGCGGATGAAATAGTGGGCGGGGTCCTGGTCTGTCGTGGCTGCTGCTAGGGCGGAGACGGTGGCTGTTTCGGTCGCGGTTGTCGTTATATCCCCTGTTGTAGCTTCCGGGGCCGTAGACGTAGACGTAGACGTAGACTCAGAAGTCGGAGGGAGGTAAAGCAGCCCAAACCGCTTCTTATCTGAGCTGGCCACTGCATCCACAATCTCGGGGAATGTGACCTTTAACGATTTGAGTTTTCGCCATGCGAGCTAGAATAGGGTTCGAGTCAGCTTGCAGCACCATCCCAAAACCAATTTCTTTCCCCGACAAAAAGAGAAAAAGGGAAAAAAAAAACACACCAAATCCCCAACAGAGGCATATCCCTGCGCATCCATCTTCAGCCCTTCCTTCTCCGCCGCATGCCGCAGCACAAACGACATAGCCTTGGAGACGGTGATTTGCCGGCCAGTCTTAGGATCATGGTTCTTGTTTCCCGTGCCTCCAGCGCTGCCTCTGCCGCCTCTGCCGCCCTTTCTGCCTTTTTGGTTGGGTTGTTGTGGTTGTGATTGCTGTTGTTGTTGTTGTTGCTGTTCTTGCTGTTGTTTCGGGTTTGGGGGTTTGGGGGTTGCGGTTGCGGTCGCGGTCGGAGTGTCATTGGTGGATGACATTGTTCTTCTCGTTTGTGTTTTCGGATTCTTCGGTAGTGTTGGTGTAGGGTCTGAGTTGGAGGGAGGTGGGGAGGAGTATTCTCTGCTGGGGGATTGTTGCTGCTGTTGCTGAGAGAAGGGGAAGCGGGTGGTTCTTCGGTGGAGTGCGTTTTCTGTCTTTCGGCGGAGGGTGATGGCGCGGGTGGGGGACAAAGGACTTCGGATAGACAATGTAGAGACCGGAATCCGTAGGAAGCAGCGACTGTCCATTCGGTGTTGAGCTTTACTGGAGCCCAGGAGGGTGCGAGCTTCTCTTGATGTGTAGGCTAGGGGGAGTGGTGAAGTTGAAAAGACGTGCGCGGGTGAGTGAGATGAGCTCCGGGTTGGCCTTGCGCCGCAGGATCCCCCAGATGGTAGCGAACTGTGAATCTACCTGGTTATCTTCTCGGAGTACTTGTTTCAAGCAATCTTAGCCACTAAACCTTAAATCCCAGGTTTCAATTGAATGATAAGGCGAATGAACTCCATTGCTATTGTAGCTTGAGAACTTTTCCCCGTGGTCGAATTTGACAGCATCGGCGGCGGCGGCGGCGGCCCGACTTTGATTGTGGCAGGTCCAGTACGGAGTACTCACTCCATACATTGACTACAGTCTACACTACTCATACATACTCAAGTTTACTATTAAACTTACTCATGCCTATCGCTATTAACGGCCCATCTCGTGATGCTAAAGCTAAAGGGTATATTAAACAGTAATCATCGATCACAAATACAGCTACACTCCGCCACCGGACAGACCTTGTGCTTCGCGAACCACTCGCGCGCGTGATGCGCATGGAAGCCGTGGTTGCAATTGATACAGAACACAATAAACCGCCGCATCAACTCGGTCTCGCTCGGCCGACGCGATTCCGTCCCCGCATCGGCCGCCACGTACGCCTTGGACATTGGATCGGGCGACCCCAGCCAGAGCGTGCACACCCCGCAACGGGGCATATGTCGACCGCACCGGGGACACACCGTGCCGGACATGGCGGCCGTCCCGAGCGGGTTGCCTGCCGTCGGGTGCACCACCTCGCCCGTGGCGGACTGGGTGAGCTGCGACGAGGCGTCGTGCTGCGTGAGCGGTCGCGTGCAGTAGTTGCAGGTGAGACTGATCTGCTGCCGCGGGGGTTCCATCAATTTGCGACCGTCCCAGGTCACGGCGAACTTGCGGGATCCCACGTCGAACCGCGCCCGTTCCAGCTGCAGTTTCCACGAGTTGATCTGCCACCGGTATGTCTCGCGCCAGGCCTGGAATTGAGTCCGGTACGGCGCATTGTTGATGAAGCGCGGGACGGTGTAGCTCATCGCGAGCACCGCGGTCTGGATGTCGTTGAATTTGTTGATGTAGGACTGGAACAAGTCCATGGCCGAGTGGCCCAGACCCGTTAGAACGACGCCCTCGATATCGCCTTGTCGAATGACTTCCTGCGTCGTTTCGTGCAAGTACGTGGTGAGGTCGTCGTCCGGCAGCCAGCGCAGGGCGACTTCGATGCGATACCGCAGCGGGAGCGTGGTCTCCTGGATCACCGAATGCCAGTCTCCTCGACTGACAAGCGCGAGGATCGCCCGCGCGTACGGGTCCGTCAATTCCTTGGCGATTTCGGCGCAGGTTTCCTCCCAGTCGGAGTCGGTGTCGCCCTTGACGGCGCCGGCAATAGCCATAGCGAGTAGCTTGTGCGCTTGCGTGGGCTCGTGGCTTCTTAGTGCCAGGTATGCCAGCTTCGGCTCGTCCTGGAAGATGGCCAACGCGGCTGCTTTCGTGTGCTGTTTCTCTGCCGATAGAGTCTTGACTAGCTCTTCCAATTCACGGTGGGATTGCGCGGCCCCGCAGATTCGAAGGCACAACCGTCGATGCTCAGCATAGTCCGTCTCGCAGCCTTTCGTTTCCGGTAGGTTCAGCTGCTCGCGAACCAGATGGACGATTGTTTCGCTGATGTCCGACGGTGAGTCTGAGCTAACACGCCGAGCTTCCAAGCTCTCTCCTGTTCAATGTTAGAACTATCGTGACGCATACAATGTCTCCTTACCTAGGTCGCTGGTCCACACATCGTAAACGCCCAAGTAGTTCAGATCCAATCCGTCAATGATCATGGATTCATTTGAAGAGTCAGACCGTGCCCCTAGACAAGTTAGCGAGCCCGCAACCGCACAGCGATAAACATACGTTCGATCCAATCCCAGAAGCCTTGGAGACACGGATCATCCGCCAGTATCCTCTTATTCCGCGATTCGTCATAGAGATAGCCCTCCTTGCATCGCAGCCTACTAATGGACAGTAACGTCAATGCATCTTCCACGGCAAGAGGTTCGCCTGACGTGCCGAGCGAGATGGCACGCTCTCTTGCCTTGCGGCTCGAAAGCGGACTCTCCGACCGGACTTCTGGCGCGTCACTCTGAGCCGACACCCTGGCGCGCAATTCGCTCACAATGTCCGAGATGCGAGTCTCCGGATTGTTGACCGGAGGGCTGATCACTTGGAAGTCGGAATCATCATCACACGAGCCCCAGATCAAGGAGCCTTGCGACGAGAGCCGCACCGGAGGCGAGGGCGGCTTGGACGTGACGATACTGATCTGCCCCGTCCCATTCATCGTGATCGCGCTAGGTTCGTTTCCGGAGCTCATGTTGAGAAAGTCGAAAGCCACCACCCTGTCCTCCTCGGCATAGCCACGGGTCGGATGGTTGAAAGGACCGACAATGTCCCGCTCATATTTGGTATAAATCTGTTCCGGATAGCTGCAGGCCGAGCCTTGCCCCAGTGTCTCGTCGACCGAAGACCGCATCTCTTCTGCCAAGTACTCCTTAGCGATGTCATACGTCTTGAGATGACCCGTGTTGGCCAAGGCCGCCAGACAGCCTCGCTTGGTCCGGGAGAAGCGTAGGCTCCAGATACTCGACTTTGGTGCAACGGCATTCTTCAACTCCAGCGCCGGGCCAGCCTGGCCGGCATCGAGACCGGTAGCCGCCCCCACAGCCGGCGTGATGAAGCGCGACCCGATGCGCCGATCCCAGACGCAGATCACCGGATCATTCGTGCCCTGGCATGAAGCGATATAATTCTCATCCAGCCAGTTGATAGCCAGATTATGAACGCAGCGCGTTGGAAACTGCAACGACGGGTTTCCTGGGCCCTCTGTACGAAACATACTAAATCAGCTAACCCACCCATCACCTGTAACATCATCTCTATCATCATGCCCACCAGCGAGATCAAGACGAAAACAACAAAAACCCACCTCGAAGGTCATAGATTCTCACAAACTGGCCCTTCACGCCCGTGACTAAGGTGTCCGGCTGATCCCTGAAGAACTTGATACTGGTGATCGGCTCGGAGCTCGCCAACTTGCGCAGCGGCTCCACAAACCCCTTGGTGGCGGGGGCCTTCATCGTCAAGCGCTGGTTGACGTCCCAGATGTTGAGGCAGAAATCATTGCGGACGCGGTCCAGGCCAGCAGCCAGCAAGCCGTGCGTACTAAAGGCCACGGCGTTGCAGTAGCGCTGGTGGCGGATGGGGAAGGAGAAGGACTCCTGGGCCTCGCCCGTCATCCGTAAAATGGTTGCGTCGCCCGAGGACTGGCCCACTGCGACCAGCGACTCGTCCATGGGGGACCAATCGAAGGCCCGGAAGGCGGGCACCTTGGTGTGTGTCGACAGAACCTCATGCTCGAGGCGGTGGTGGCCGTCGAATGCGGTCACCCGGCACAGGCGGAAGGCTTTGTTGACCACGTCCACGGACAGAAAGTGCTGCTCGCTCGTGGTAGAGGACGGAGACCACCGGATGGCCGTCTCCATTTTGGCTGTGCTGTGCTATGCTGTGCTGTGTCTCTCTCTCACACACTCTCCACTTGCCCCTCTCCCTCGAATAGTTTGGGGGCAGAGGAGGGATGGGATGGGGTTTCCCAATGAGATAGATCACCGATCTACAGAGTAGACTGCTACCCCTGTGTAGCAAGGCCTGCCAGATGCAGCAAGACGTATCTGATGCGTCAACAGCAAACCCCCCACACCCTGACAGGCACTGCTGCCGTCCACAAGTGGGTAAAGGAAAGTGAAAGCCGGGGCCTAGATGTAGTAGCCCATTGGGACACACCGGAGACCAAGGTGCGCTACACCGCGACGCGCAACCCGCCGCGTATCGGAGGTTGAGTTGAATAGACAGATTAAAAGCGATGCGTAGCAGCAGGAAGTAATAGTAGTAAGTAGTAGCGAGTAGTAACAGCAGTAGCTTTACGGAGTAGTTCCAAATTCATGGGCGCGTCATGGGACTGCCTTCGTTATGATTGGCTGCGACGGGAGATTCCTCGGCCCGAGCAAAAATCCGAAAGATACTATCAAATCAATCGCCCGATAAAGTAAGTCAGTCAATAATTTTTCCATCCAAATTCCAGATTCTCCAAATTACTATAAACCAATTTCCCAAACCTGCGAAACCTCCTCTATCCCCCACCTATCCTTCGAAACCTTGCCCCTCCCATCTCTACCTCATCTAGACAAAAGCATCAGAAACAATGCCCCGCCCATACGACCCCCGCCCCCACAAACGCAAACACGACGACGACAACGACGACGACGCCGCGGCCGGCCGCAACAAAAAGTTCTCCGCCCGCAAGAAGTTCCCCGTCAAGGAGAAGGATCCGGATTTTGTCTCCGTCAACGAGCTCAAGAAGCGCATCCGAGCCGTCAAGCGCCTGCTCGCCAAACCCGACCTCCCCGCCGATGTGCGCGTCACCCAGGAGCGCGCCCTCAAGGGGTACGAGCACGAGCTCGAGACGGAGACGCAGAACCGGGAGCGGGATGGACAAGACGCAGAGCGCAAGAAGCAGAGTCGGGAGCGGAACAAGATGATTAAGAAGTATCATTTTATTAGGTTTTTGGGTATGTAACACTTCCTTTTTTTTTTTTTTTTTTTGTACCGTGACCCGCGCAGCTCTTCTAACAGGTTTGGTTGTTTTTTTCCTGTCTGGTGGTAGAACGCAAAACAGCCACCAAAGAAATTGCCCGACTCGAACGCCTTCAGAAAGCCCTGACGGAAAACACCGAGCTGGACGCGGCAACCAGGGACAAGAAGCTCGCGTCCGTGGCGAAGAAGCTACACGTGGCGAACGTGAATCTCAATTACACGATTTACTTCCCGTTCATGGAGAAATACATTGCTTTATATGCGGATGGGAAGAAGAGTAAGAAACCGGCAGATGGGGCGGAGGAGACGGAGCCAATCGAGGCAGATGATGCAGCGACGGTAGCGGAGAAGAACGCCATGTGGAAGACTGTGGAGCAGTGCATGAAGGATGGCACGCTGGAGGCTCTGCAGAAGCGCAACATGGACCAGGACAACACCGCCGAGACGTCAGAGTCGGCAGCCCTCAAGTCAGAGAAGATTACGGATAAGAGCAAGAAGACTTCGCGCGATACTTCCACGGAGAAGAAACCGAGCGCGAAAGCCAAAACAGACGACTGCACGAAGCAGAAAAAGTCGAATGCCAAGCAGGACGACTACGAGATGCCTGATGCCGGTGAGGAGAGTGACGGTGGATTCTTTGAAATGTGACGGAGTGGGCTATTGCTTTATCTGCCAGCGTTGATGATGCATTTGCAGGAGTCGGTACTTTCTCTCGTTATGGTTTCTGTTACTCTCAATCTCATACTGGACAAACTGGTTTTATCTACTCGTCAGCCATAAGATACCCAAATCAAGACTATTACTGGTGTGTTGCAATTGTTCACTGAGGCGAGGCATTAATTGTTTTCATTGTACTCCGTAGTCCGTAGACCTCACTGGCAAGAAGACATTAACACATGAACAGTCCACCACCGAGCATGTCTCTAATTCAAGAGCACTTTAGCACTTTGAGACAGGTCGGCGACCTTTGTCTCTCAAAATCGGTCAGCCTAAGACATCGGGCTGGCCCTTTCAAGAATCTTACAAGGTGACGAATCAGTTTGAACCCGGTGTGATTTCCAATCTTCCTTGCTAAATGACCGACAATATGATTCCACCCAGTCCAACTCCGAAATTCTCCATCCACCGTCTAATAAACCAGTCGCAAAAGAGAGCCGGTGCGCGACGGAGTACAAAGCTCACGACACCAGTCCTGACTCCCGAGACAAGAACGCCCAGATCCCAGCTCAAAGAAAACACGCCAGTGAAAGACAGACGAAGAAAGAAACCCAGCACGTCCGGCGTAAACGAATGGTCCTGGTTCATCATGTTCGTATATCATAGCATAGCTCGCCTAGTGCGGACAATGCTTGCGAATGCCCATAGCATGACCACCGTCCTACCACCCCTGTTCCCCAACACTTCTCGTTTTGGTGACAGACGATGCCAGGTCTTGTGGCATACACCAAGACAAAAGGTTGCCAGAACCTATGAGAAAAAGTAACAGAGCCCTGCAAGGGCCTTGAGCCCGCAATGCGACTCTTGCGAACCCAGTTTTCAGAAGAGAAAGATAGTATGTGCAGGTGAGCCCTTCACATGACTGTGCAGCCAGTATTGCTCTCTGTATGGCGACGACGTCCTGCTCCCAGGGCGGAGATGTCTCCAGTTCCATACGCAGCAGCCTCTTCGTCGACTTCATTGTAAATTCTTTCCGCCTCGCGAGCTCGGCGTCGTCGCCTGCGCATGCCGGAGCCAGTGGTACCCGCCTCCTCAGTCGCCATCATGTAGTCGGCCCATTTGCGATCGAGCCGAGTCGCTGCTGCGAGATCACCGCGGAGAACTCGCTTGTTGTGCTCATTCACGGTCATCTGCCAGCCATAGAAACACTTGAGGTGGATGATCTCATTCGGATATACAGGAGGTGGGGGCGGGGGCGTGATGGAAGATGTGATCATGGCTGGGGATCCCGGCACCTGGCCTTGTTCCACCGTCTGTGCCACCACTGAGACGGTCTGAGGGGGTTTACGAGACCGTGGGATAAAAGCATTGCTCGAGAGTACCTCTTTGACACCGGCCCAAGTCACATTGCCGCAATCGAATACGACTAACCGCAGACCAATCTGAGGCAGATTCTCGCCATAGCCCCTCTTGCGTACGCGAAGACTGGCTTCCATCAGAGTTAGATCAGACACTCGTGTGTTGTCCATCTCAACAGAGCGAAGAGAAAGACAACTCTTCATTATCGGCAGAGTTCCTTGGTCTCCAAGAAGCTCACAGTAACTTATGTTAAGGTGTTCCAGGCGAGGAGCGCATGGTGACTTGGCAAGCTCGATAAGCGTTTGATTGGAGAGCCGGGTCAACTCTTCGAGTTCAAGGTGTGTGAGACGAGGGGTGGTCTGGATAATGGGGATGACGGACTCATCGGTGAGGTCGGAGCAGTGGGAGAGCTGCAGCCCTTGCAGGTGAGGCACGTTCCAGGCAAGACTCTTCACACCACGATCGGTGAGTTCAGGACATTGGTGAATGTCCAAATGCTTGAGCCGTCGCGGAGGGACGATCGGCCGATCCAAAAGCACGTCGATGTCCGGGTCGATGCCATGCATCAAGACCTTCAAGCTCTCATCGGTAATGTCCGTTCGGCTAATGATCAGGCGGTCCAAGGTGTTTCGCTCAAACAACTCCGCAGCGAAATCGATATCGTGAAAGCCACGGATCTCGCTAGCTCGTAGATCTCTCAGCTTCGGGCAAGCGACCACCACTTTCTTCAAGCCAGATGTATCGACGCTAGTACACCAAGAAACGTTCAGAATCTCCAGCTGTGGACAGGATTGGGCAATGATCTTCATGGCGGAGTTAGTGACGGTGAGCAGTCCCGATAGGTTGATGTATTCAAGGCGGGGGTTCCGCAATAAGAAGTAGTGGATCGTGGATTTGTCCACACGACACCCTTCCAGAGAGAAGTTGACCACGTTCCGACACAAGTCGGTGATTCTTTCGCCCTCTGTGCGCCATGTATCCTTGAGTTGAACACAACCCCGTAGGTTGAGGTCTCGAACAAAGGGACCACCAGAAGTCATCAGTTTCACGAGACCCTCACTAGGAATGTCGCGGTAATACTCCGTCGTATCGACTTCACTCCAGAGCTGCCCATCGTAGCACATTGCATTCCAAGCTTTGGAGACGGCGGATAAGCGAACAATCTCTCTTGGTGTGAGGTACCTAAAGATATGCATCTTGAGTTCGTCCGGCAAGTTTCCCCAGAAATCGAAGACCTTCGGTTTGGGTGGTGGCAGCGCAGTGGTAGCCTCAGTCGTGACGTCGGCCATACTGATTGCCAGTCCACGAGAAACCGGTCGCAGGTCCTGAGGCAAAGGAATTGTCTTCGACCCGGAAGCATTGGGGGACTCAGAGGGAACCACCCGGATGCGAGCGGCGCCTTCGAAGTAATCGGTCTGAGGGGCAGTGGCCCCAGGAGTCACAGACTGCGCATTGAGTCCCCCGTATAGCTGCGATGAGCTCCCATTGCCCAAGCAGGGGGAGTAGACTGTTTGCGAAAGCGAGATGCAGGACAGGGAAGCTTTTCCCTCGCGGCGATACCCTGTGGAAGCGGATCGGCCGCGCCTGGTGAGACTCGGACTGGACGAGATACGTTGGAGATTCTGGAGCAATTTGTGACGACCCTTGAGTTTCGGGGGCTGTTCCAAAGGAATTTGACCGGTCGACGAAGCCGGACTCGAAGGTGAAGGACTCTCAGTGGTCGACCTGATGTCGTCGGAAGATGCGGTAGCCATGTTGATATTGCGGTTCGCGGCTTGCCAAGTAAGTGTCTTTGGGCTTCAATGGAAGAAAGTCCTAGGTAGGTGTAGCGACGCAACACAGTATCAATGCAATACGACCGGATGCTTTTCAGCGCCAGAACGCAAAATGCCGCGACAGACGACGAAATCCTAATTGCTCATAATGAATCCAGCCAGCCGATTCCTGAGATGGTGGTTATCTTATCGATATTGGCGATAACCACCAAGTAGACACACCCCAAGCAGCAGAGAAACGCCAGGCCTCCAATCCTGCGAATGAACAGGCTGATTGCTCAGGCTGAAAAAGAGAGAAAGGAAAGGGGGATCAAGATCACCCGAGCAGCGAAACAGCAGCAGCAAGCGACGACAAGGTGGAGGTGGGTTGTCGTAACGACTGTACCATGGGACTCCGAGACCGCGTAACCCGGGGAGCCGAAGCAAAAGCCAGCACGACGCCTGGCTTGCAAGCGGAAAGTCAGGAGAAGTGACAGGTTGACTTCAGTTGTAGACGTCACGCAAGCATCATCCAGGAATAAAGTGAGTATCGATTTATGCAACCGGTGAACTTGAATTGGGCTGTAGGATAAACTAACGGCGGAGGGAAGAGAGGAAAGGAGGAGGAGATGGGAGGGGAAAGGAAAGGGAGAAAGAGGGAGGAAGATACAGGAGAACAAACAGTAGGATAGATAGTGTTACTGTTTGTGACAAGAAGGCAAGGCGAGAAACAGAGGAGGATTGGCAATTCCAGTTAGAAAATCACGTAAGGTCAGGTCAGCCGACGGGGAAGGGCGAGCCACACAGCCTTTTGAAGGAGGTTGACAGGAAGACAGAAATATAATTGCTCAGTCAATAGTAAGTGGCTGTGACAAACAGAAAAGAGACAGAACAATGATAAGGCCGCGAATAACACACGCCCTCCTCCTCTCTGTCTGTCCGGTCTCTTGTTCTTCTTACCCCACAAGGGTGTCTCTGTCTTATCGGTGGATGGCGGCGGATTCCCACTTATCGATTAACAATTAACCATTACTAGCTTCCCCCACTTTGGCTGCTGACGGTTTGGTCACGGTTATTACCGGGTCAGATGGCCGGTCGGAAGATCAGAAGGTGGCCGGGCATGACCCCTTTCCCACCAAAATTGATAGCAGAGATAAAAGATAATGGGCAAATGAAGGAGACATAGACACCATACTGTCAATGGTCATTTGGCGCTTCATTTATTGGATTAATTCTGCGAAACTTTTGTCTGATAAGCAGCTGTTGATCGAGATCGAATGGTCGGGCAATTTTGGTGTGGAAGTACTGTATGCACTGTAATACGAGTACTTATGGCACTGGGTGCCGACGAGGAACAAAATGCCTCGCCTACCGCCTAGACAGATCGAAACAGCCATCGCCATCACAATTCCCTGTTCCTTGTCGGTCTGTTGCTCCATCGTGAACCCCACTGGGATGATTGGGCAAACTGTCAGTCTCCGTACTATTCTTAACAATTCTCCTAATCCACACTCAGTCTGGACTGTACTCCGTGCTCCTGCATGAACCAGCCACTGCATTGATTGACATTGACTCTGAACCTCAACCTCACCACGGACGGGGAAATCAAGACTGTCGCTTGATATTCCATCCCACCTGAGACTAATCCCCCCCGTTCCCCATTGTCAAGACCAGGAACACTCCCGAGTCCAAATCAATCCTTAGCCCGGACCCAGACAGAGACACAGTACTGTGGGACAACCAATGGAGCACTCACTGCATCCCCACACTCCAAGGAGTGGCAGTCAAGAGGCGAAAACGAATCCATCCACCTTCCGAAACTCCGACTTGTCGGAAAATCGGATTCACAGTTCACAAGTAATCCTCCGACTCCTCCGTATACAGTAAGTTCCTGGCTAATCCACACGGGATTTCCATTCCTCCCATGTCTTTTTCCCCTTGCAATCACAATCACCAATCTTAGGGGTTAGGATTCTCGATGGGAAACCAACTAGTGGGTGGGTAGTGCGTCCTCGAAGTACTCCAAGTCCGAACAAACTTTCACAAACTACCTACACAGTAACCCATACGGAGGAATTCACCTGTAACTCACCCTCGCTTTCATCTTTGCCCCGCCCAGTTTCCGCCGTAGAGCTCATGTACTGTAGTTACACACCTGAGGGAAGAACAGGCGGAACACACTGCAGAGGGGGAAAGGGGGGGAGGAGGAACTGGAATGGATTGCCAGTTTGCCTCCTGTGATTATGGGCCCAACGCCACCCAGGCGGAGACACTGCCGTCCACCACACGGAGTCACTGTAAGTGATCCTGCATCTTACTTGTTACCAGGGCTGGTTGCCCTCTTTGTTTCGAGGTTTCCGGGGGATGCCTTTTTTTCTACTTTACTCTGTACGCGGACTGTGAAGAACAGGGGTGTATAGGTATTGACACTCAACTCTCTCTCTCCCCTTGGAATTCTTGTTGTACGCGAACCCATGTCGAGACGGCAGAGAAGAGACTATAATTCCTCTGGTACTTTTCAACCGAACGGACCCTCCGAAAAATGGAACATAGAAGGCTGCTCCGTCTCCCACATGGCAAAGAAGCCAAGACGCTGCTGCAGATTAGAGGCTACCGTTGAAATCAAATGAACCCGACTAGAAAAACTAGCCCCGAATCCCCCGCTTTTACACCCCCGCACTGAGATCGCGCTCAAAGAACATTGACGAGCCAGTCAGAAAAGTCGTACTGTCTGATCTTTTAAACTACCTAGGTAGTGTCATGTCTCATTCCCTGTATATCGGTCTAACCTCATTTCTGTTTCACAGCATTTGAAGATCCACTACCGCCGTGGTGATGGGTATCAACCGAGAAAAGTAAAAAAGAAAAAGAAAAAGAAAAAAAAAAAAAACAAAAAGAAAAACAAAAGAATAAGTTCATCCAATGCATGCTGCTCAATGCCCATATTGTGCTCCTAGGCCATGCACGCAAAATAGCTGTTGAATCCGGTCCAAGCCATATCGCAAAGTAAAACACAATAGTATCTTCTTTCTAGCCAAAGAGAAGAATTATATGATGATGGTGGTGGTGGGGTATCTCAGCCGCAGGAACCTGCTATACAAACCCTCCCCGCCGCGGACCGACTCAAGCCGTTGGTCGACCAAAGCACCCAAAGGGTCATGCGAACTGAATTTAGTCATGATTGTTCTCCAATGATATGGCATCTACCACTCCTGTACCGGATATTTTCATCTTCAAATGCGACCGAGCAATCGTAAATCTCGCACACCTTTGATCTCTCAGCATAGCAACAAACACTGTCGTTGCGGCGGGATTGTCTAAGCAAGTCGCAGGCAATGTTAGAACCGAAACGTTTGTCGTATGCGCATTCCATGATGAGAGCCCGTGATTCCGCCTGCCTCAAACCAGCTGTCCCGTACATCGCTTAATTTTCGACCATCCATGGGTGCTCTAAGACCTCGCTGACAGTCATCCGGTTGTCCACATCCCGGTCGAGCATTCTCCGAATCAGGTCGATACAGTCTTCAGAAAAGGGTAAGAATGGAACCCGAAGAGGGTGGTCAAGGATCTCGTCGACATTGTAGAAAGGATTCTCCTTGTACACAATGGTATACAGAAGGATGCCGAGGGCCCAGATGTCTTGCTCTTTGCCACGATAAGATTTGCCCTGAAGGACTTCGGGCGCTGCGTAATCTGCAACAGAATTAGTATCATCTTGTAGAAATCGGTCTCAACGACGGGACCTACCAATTGTGCCTACGAATACATCGAACGGCCCGTTCTTGATGTAAGCAGCACTTCCAAAGTCAATCAGCTTGATTCGTCCCTCGCCGTCCAAGATGACATTCTCGTCTTTGATGTCACGGTGAACCACGAGTGCCTTGGTGTGCAGATGATGAATGGCAGAGACAACTTGGCGAAAAATGTTCTGGCACTCTGACTCGTCCATATTGACCTTCAATTCGATGTAGTCAAATAGATCCATGCCTGGCAGCCCATGCGGTGTCATCTCAATATAATAATTGATGTCGTCCTCAAAGAATCCTTCCATTTCCACAATATTGGGGTGCTTTAAGCCGTCTCGCCGGAGAAAGTCCAAAACATGAATCTCCAACGGCACGGTTCCTAGTCGACGATCCCGAGTCCACGTATCGACCAGAATCCGTTTCTTGGTGACATACTTCAGCACAACCTTCTTCGTAGGAATCTTCTTTAGGCGGGCGAGTTTAACCTCCCCATAAGCTCCCTGGCCCATCTCTTCCAGTATAGTATAATCAGCAATGGTTCGCTTTTTAGGCGTTTCCTTCGCGCTCGCCGGTCTCACTTCAGGTACCGGCTGCACAGGTTTATCTGTCAATGGTTGAGAAGCAGCTTCGCTCAGCTGCTGACTTAGAGTGGACGTGGGTATTTGACTCTCAACCGACGTCTGTTCATTTATATAAGGATGCGGGCTAGAAATCGGTGTGGGCGTCTCCGACAAAAGGACTGCCGAGGGGCTCTCAGCCCCCGATGGCACCGATTCGAGGGGGGAAGGGATATTAGACCTCGGGGCTGCCGAGTGGATATGCCGCGAATAAGTCACCCACAAAGCATACACGAGTTCGGTGACCGCAATTGGAGCGTCGGATTCGGATTCCGTTTCATTGACCTCCTCAATAGATTCTTTTCGCGGCTTGGTGAAGATGGTACCGCTCTTGGCCACGCGCATTTGGACATCGACCGCTATAGACGACCCATCGCGATGGGTAGCAGCAAGCCCCGAAGGTTCCAGGAGGACCGAAACCACGTGAGCTTTTCCACCCTCTCGAAGTATAGACAAGGTTCGTGCTCTTCGAAAACTGGGTTCTGGAATCACTATGCCGTCTACAAGAGGAGCTCTTTCCTCCTCGACAAGCACACTTAACAAGTCATCAAACCCAGGGATCAAGTCATTAATATGCAAACCTTCAGGTCGCTCATGACCAAAAAGAGCGGCAGAGAACACAGAGTTAGAGCTGATGATCTTCAAAGTCGACGAGGATAAGACCATCATGCCAGCAACATGAGGAAAGCTCGAGATTCGGAGCGACCTGTTCCCGTCTCCCTTGGTAACAATTGTGGGAATGCATATGCCGGCAGACGTGCGGGAAGCAAAGTATTTGGTTTCGGCCACTTTCGCGAGACCGGTACGCATGGAACCAGCGAGACAGTCTGCAGGAAGGCGGGGCAGCAATTCTGTGATCCGTTCACCAGGCTTCACCGCACTGTGACCCCAGATCCTGTCCACATCACCATCGACCTTCACAATGTCCCAAGACTCGTTGCATGTGACTGTCACGACATCCTCTTGAATCTCCTCGATAACCCAGATCAAGCCCCCACGTTTCTCCATCACCCAAATGCTAGCAGATCCTGTTTTACCGTTGCGCTTCTTGATAGGCACAACATCGCCACAAAGGAGCACTCCGCGAGATTTCGTTGGAGGATGGTTCAATTGTCTGGTGCTGGAGCCGTATCCATCATCGGTTTGTGCTCGTCGGGGCGGCCTTGCTCGAGAAGGTGGTTTACTCAGCAATTGCGCTGTTACTCCGTTGCCCATGCCCATTGTTTTGGTATTCGCGGGCTTCAACCGCGTCCGTTCCGGCGAAGATTTGAGCTTTGAGGCGGCGTCAGTGTTGGGGTCTCGTAATTTGTTTTCGATCCAGTCCCGCCGGTCTTCTTGTACGACCTCCAATATGCTTAGTTTGCGGAGCTCCGCTTGGGTAACACCAAATATGAGGCACGAGATATCATTCGCCGCCAAGATAGTCCACGGCTCCTGCGATTCGGTCCGGAACACAGCCTGCGATGCTGGAGTCCACTTGCTGCTATGGGTATGTAGCACAGGCACGGGGAACCCGTACCCAAACGTGGAAGAGCTGGTGGGAGACAAAGGGTCGGTGGTTGTGTAGGGTGCTAGAATCTTCATCAGCTTGCCCCGGATAGCGGTAGAACCAACTTCGGTGTTAGTACCTTTTTTAATGCTTACGCGCCTAGATGAAGGGTGCGATCTCATTTCCTGCTGCTGTGATCTCGAGTCGTCCGTCCCTTGCCCTGAGTAGCGCGACTGAGCCCCCATCGAGCCATATTCCAACGGCACCTCTCCAAATCTGCCGGCCGCAAGTTGGGGTTCTGTAAACGCTCTCTCAAAGATATTGTTACCGTCCACATTAGCAGGGCCCGTCTGTGGACCCCGCGTCAGACCTGCGTAGTGGTATCGGTCCTCCTTAGCCAACACATTCGTTCTTGTTGAGATATCGACCACGCTCTGGGTATCCGAGTCCCCGTCAGCGCGTGCTTGAGCAGCAGCCAATGCAGGGCTAGTGCCAGAAGCCCAGCCAAAACGATCGCGCATGAAATCGATGGACCTCTTCAGGATGTTATGCCGATTGTGAAGCAACTCCTCCGATTTCTGTGCGAATGAGAACGAATGCAGGGACTCGCACGGGAAACGATGGAGGTCCTCCAAGGTCTCAATGTCGTCGCTGGCAAACAGGCGAGTGGGATGGGCGCGGGATGACGAGGCGGAACGTGGTGAAGGCGAATGGCTGCGCGATGCTACCGGGCCGAGCGATGAGACGGAGATGTTGGGAAGGGTGAAAACCCGCGATGATGGTTGCTGACGTATGCGATCTAGACCAGATGGGCCAAGTCCATGTTCATGATCCAGCAGAGAAGATCTGTAGAAGAGGAATTGAAATCTCTTTTTAGTCCCTGTTTGCGGGTTTGCGCTAATGCAGATTGATGCTGCCGACCAATGCAAGGGACCATCGTCATTCACTTACCTCGAGAGATGATCGAAGTTGGACGAAATACTTTCCGAGCGGGAGCATCTCATTGAATCTTCCGTATGGGTGGAGAGGCGTCTGATAAAGGGATCCTCCTCGGGCGACTGTGAAAGGGGTCCCAGCGGCGACGACAATGGACTTGCATCATCTAATAATCCTCGATGTGAGGTTAGCTGCATTTCTTCCACTCTCTGGGTTCCTTTTTGAGTCTCTGCTCTCTGCCCGCCTCCTTATCTCTGGTTCTAACCCTTCGCTACCCATTCAGAAGCACTGATGCTGTGTTGTGGAATGAAGTGGCTAAATGGTTCCGAGATGCATGACAAAAATGTGGATAAGGAACGGCAGTGTCGGTCGTGCCGAACTGGGGGTCTTGGTGACTGGCCAGAGGGTCGCTTGGCATTTCTTTCGACTGTTGGTGCATTCGCACTTCGCTTCGAGGATCACTGTTGATTTGGAACTCGGGGCTGGGCGCTTTTGGGTCGACAGGTATCGTCATCGTCGTATAGACCTACCACATACGCTTCTCGGAACCAGGGACTTTCACATGCCGACATTGATACAACTGAAGATGGCGAGAGGGCTTGCAATGCTAGAGGAACAGAGGGAAAAAGAGACTGTGGACCTGGGAGACTAACCGTCGAAATTGTAGGACGAAGAACCCATATTTCCCCAAGGTCTGGAAGTGTAGAAAAGACAGCACCGATCGGACCGATTGATAACTAGCGGTTCAAGCCGGTGCACCGGGAAGGATAACGAATAGAGAACTAGGGTGGGAAGGACGGTGTCGACTAATGCTACATGGGATCACAACATGTGAAACATGGGAAAGAGATTGGTCTCTTGTTAATGACGAGAGCTGGGGAAGTGAGTGGGAGGAAGGGAAGGGGGGGG